GCACGCTGCACTTGGCAGGGTTGACAAAGAGCCCTACCGCCGCCAACGTGTCCGTCAGGTCCCTGAGTTTGACCTGAAGTTCCCTAGCATCCATCGCAAAAAGCATGACATCATCAGCATATAGCAGGAAATGTGGGAGCTCTATTGCATCCGCCCAGCGGGGAAACTCGGTATTCCACCGAGCCTGGAGCCCCCGCAAATGGAAATCTATAGCTCGAGCGAAGAGATCAGCTGAATAGCTGCTGCCTTGCATGATCCCTTGGCGGACCTCGGTACGCCAAGTCTCAGTTCCCAAACTCATTAGCAAACGATTTTGGGAGCACAGACGCCATAGCAGGAGGATCTCGGGACAAACCTCACAGTGCATGAAGAAGTGCACGATCGAAGAATGGGAAAGACTGTCGAAAGCCGCCCTAATATCTAGCTTGGCCACATGTGCTTCCACCTGGTGCTTTCTGCGTAAGACTCCTATTACTGTCTGCGCCGCGAGGATGCCGTCTACCGTCTGAGTTTTTCGTCTGCACCCCATTTGCCCACTTTGGTAGGGCGGGCATTTAGGCGCAACTCTCCCCATCAGTAGCCTGCCAAAGATCTTAGACAAGCACGGAGAGAGACAGATCGGGCGCAGGTCAGCAGGATTGGAGGGTTGGGGCGTTTTGGGCAGGAGCACTACCTTGGCCTCGTACCAGTTCTCGGGAAGAGGCTGTTGCCCAAAGAGCAAACGATTCATGAAGCGGAGAAGCTTGCCCGTTTTGTCGCATCTATGATAGGTCCGGATTGCCTCATAGCACACTCCGTCCAGGCCAGCGCTTGTGCGTGGCTTGCATTTGGCGATGGCCAGGCCTAAGTCATCCTTAGTAAAGGGCTGCGGTCTAACGGAGGAATGTGTAGCAATCATCCGATGGATCGCCTCCTCGGTGGGAGGCGGGAGGAGGGAAGCGTATTTGCGGTCATAGAACTGCCGGAGTTCCAAGCTGGCCGCTTGTTGCCCCCCTCTTTGCTCAATGTAGCTGGTTTCAAACGAAGCATGCGCGGCACTCTTTCGGAGGTACGTGATAGCCTGCCTATCCCCTTCCCTGGCTCGCTGCAGAATGTTCAACTGGTGTTCGTGCCGATCGTTGGTTCGGCGTGCCCGTATTTCGGACAACATGCTCGCTCTCGTGTGAGGGTCCTGGCAGGCACGTCTGGTTGCAATAAGGGCCTTAAGGTCCGAAGAGTCCTGGTATCGAAGGGAAGGAACTCGCTCGGCTTTTAAACACAACTCAGACATGCGAGAGGGACCAAACTCCATGTCCGAGGCCGCATAGCTCTCCAGCTCCGGAATGCTGGGCAGCCACCGGCCACACCTGGTGGTGGGGCGTGTGCCTCTGTGGAGCAGCGGCATCGGGGTGCAAATTCTCAGAAAGACGGGGCAGTGGTCCGAGGGGAGCGCCAGTCGCATGTCATCCCGCTTGTGAGCATACGTGAGACTTCTAGGGACACGAGCCAGGACAGCGTCGATTTCGCTAGCAGCCCCACGGGCCGTCCAAGTGATGCCCACGGAACGATGCAACGAGAGGCTATGTTTCTGAAGCAGAGCCCTCAGAAGCCCCATTCCCGAAAAGGTGTCCGAGCTGGCATGAAGGTCCTGGTTGAAATCACCGCCGACGATGACCATGGCCTCGCCACCTGTATCCTGCAGTTGAGAATCCAGTAGCTCCAAGGTGTCCTTCCAAACCTCCTCTGCAGAAGATCGTGGTTTAGCTTCGGTGCTGACCCGTTTACTGTGGGGCAAATGCAAACATGCCAAATGAATTCGGTGATTCCGACATGCACCATGCAGGACAAGACCAACGGGAAGCCCCGACTTGTGTGTCGCATGGAATTCCAGTTCGGTTTTGACAAGAATAGCCTGGTTGAGGTGTGCTTCGGGCGCGCTGCAGTGATACATCTTGTAGGGTACAGACCCAAAACAAAAATCCGAGACCTGAACCTCAGGAGTGGCCCCAGGACAAGCACCTAATTCCTGCACAAAAAGAAAGTCAGGGCATGGGACAGTCCCCTGCCACAGATCAGCAACCTCACGGAGACTTTTACCATGAAGATTCCAGGTACATGCTACGAATTCGGGTTTGAGGGGTCGCCCTCGTTTCCTGTTCCGGCCACCCTCCTAGGGGGATCCTGACGCCTCAACCTCGAAGTGTGTATGCAAGACCTTGAGATCAATCCCCAAAGTTCGAGCGAGAAGGGGACCCGGGACCCACCATCCCGTTTCGTGGCCCCGTACATCAAGCAACAACAGAGCCCCATCATCCGGACGTTTCTGGTCCACGTGGGCAAGCACACTGACCCCATTAGCCCAGAACCTTCCACGCCAGTCAAACTCAAAGTCCCTGGGGGGCAAATGTTTGGCAACAAGAGCCTTGAGGGACACTATGGCTCGAATACGGGCTCTCTCCTCAGGACTACGGTTTCGCTTTGCCCAAAGTGCCCCCGTCCCTTGCCCTGGAAGGGAGCTTGGCTGAGCAACTGCTCGGAGGGCCTCAACACACATGCCTTGGACCTTACGTCGTTCTGCCATGGCATCCTGCATGTACAGCAAGTCGACCCTACACGTGTTGGAACGCACCGAGCTGCAATGCATGGCCTGCAGGAGAGGGCCACACTCAGCTCTCGTGAACCAGTCTCTCACTTCTTGTTCGATGTCCTCGCGTTTCGCATCCTTCCAACCGCCTAAAACAACCTGCCAATCATCATGCGCGGGATTCCCACGAGCCCCACGAGGTGAATGCGTCGGAGTGTATGCTGAGGTGACACTAGGAGACCTAGAGCGAAAATCCCTCATCTCCTGTTCCATAGCCGCCAAACGGAGCTCAAGAGCCGCAGTTCGTTCTAAGTGCGAATCCTGCCTCGACTCCAAAGACTGCACCTTATCTGCTACTCCCTGAATGGAATCTCTAGTGACCTGGATGGCCTGCATCTGCTCGTGTTGTCCTCGATGAAGCCGGTCGATGCCCGCCTGAAGTGAGGCTGCCCACGGCGGGGGGACATCATCACCAATGTCGTACTCCTGTGGCAGCGGGCGTTTGTTCTTGTCGGGGGGGACAGGCCCCCCCCCAAAAAGGGGAGGGGGTTGCAGCCCCACTGGCGGTCCTTTGGCGGCAGCGGGATCGAGGGTCGGAGGTCGTGCTTTCTTTTCGGGGCTTGTTTTAGGCGAGGACTTGGGGGCTCGGGTGGCTTGGTGTTTAGCAAGGAGATTAGCGGCCACCGCTGCTGCTTCAGCCTGCTTGGCTTCAGTTTCCGCCAGCCCCACCCCTCTCCCCGGTCCAGGATCACACGGCCCACCCACGGCATCCCCCAAGGCGGCCCGGAGCGCATCCTGGGCCGCTTCTTGCATAACCATGTCGGGCTGCTCGGCCCCCAGAAGAGCCCCTGAGCTAATTGGCGTCCCAGCGTCATCCACCCCCCCCCCCCCCCCTCCAGTTGTTCGGAACGGTGCAGGTGGGGCAACAGGAGCGTACTTTCGTCCGACCCCGCCATCCCGACGAACGACGACACGACGAGAGGGACTGGTGGAGTAATGCACCCGGGAGGCCTCAGAACAGGACTACGAGGAGGAGGAGAGCTCAAGCCTGCCCGACGCGGCCCGGAAGGCGCGACCGCGCTCCAGGGGCACACACGCCAGCTGACGGCGGACTTGAGCCAAAATGGCTACGAGAGTTTAGGGTTTAGGGTTTAGGGTTCAGAGTTTAGGGTTTATGGTTTAGAATTTAGGGTTTAGGGTTCGATACCAGCTGCAAGGCTACACCATGCAAGTTCAGTGGAAAAATGATCTAGACTAGCTTCAGATGATCTGAACATCACACGCACCACGATCAACCGAGCCATGACTTTAGGTTTTCGAAGGCTTTACAGATTCTTCTGCTACAGATAGAGTTTAGTTTAGAGTTTCGGGTTTCCGCGGCTCCTGAGACATCAATCCGCCGGAATCTACCCCTTGAGCTGTGGATCGGCGGAGGGAATCAACAGACGAGCTTCTGCATGCTCACCTACGAACCTTCATTTGGTGATGTGATGGTCTCATATGACTAGAAGACTTAGACTTGTTGTTTCTTTCACTTGCTTGTTTGACTCATGCCCGCCTCCTTGATGACAAGCAGGACTCAAACTACAGCACATCTAGTTATCCTTACGAGTGTCACCCTTGATCATCGTCAACACCATTATCATCAACCGTCAAGTCGTCTATTATTGCTGCAGTAGGAATACAGGTATACCGGCATATACTTACTTGCTGATTTACCTACGTGCTTGCAAGGTACATGCTGACTCTCGAAGTACACTCTACCTAAACTCTGCGAAGCTCCGCGACATAGCTGGCCCCCACCCTGTAATAGTGACTATAAGGATTATATATTATATTCCTATTATCCCACTATTACAGGGTGGGGGCCACCCTGCAGCTTTTCGACATGTGTTCTTCTGTTGATGATATAAATCCTGCATGACCTTAAGGACCCTAAACTATGGGAATTATGGTATATTCCTTATCATGGGTCATGCAGGATTTCTATCATCAACCGTTTCAATCGAAACGTGTTTTGAGCTGCGGCTGCTTCGGCTCAGTTTGCGGGTGGCCTAATGTAGAGCCTTAATAGTCCTTTGAAGGGATCTATAGGGGATCCCGTAAAGGGGTCTATAAGGGCTACTATAAGGGATCTGAAGTTTCCCAGGCTACCAGCTTGGCACGTCTAGTTACCGGTCAGTCAACCCTTGTGACCTTTTTCCACGGGGGACTTGGGCCAAGTGCGGTCGCGTAAAGACATAGCTAAGGACCATAGGAATAGCAATGGAGGCAGGGTAAAATCTACACCCCCCTCGCCGTGCTGCTCGAGCTAAGGCGGATAGTACATGGCTCCAGGTTGCCCTGGGCTTCAACGGATTTGGGAATTTGCCAAAGCGAGCATTTATAAAGCACAACGGGGAAGCCCTGCAGGTCCGAAGCAAATCAGAATGAGGACTCAGCGCCTATGGGTGCGGTTCCATGCATCCCACTCGGCCTGAGTGTAACCTCCACGACGCTGGCGATAGTACTCGTCCCACTGGGCCTGAGTATAGCCTCTGTACATGGGCTCAGGTGCTGTCGTGCGACCACGTCCCTTTTGGGATGGGCGGTTCTGGACTGCAGCCTGGCGATTGCGCTCTGCCAGACGTTCCGTTTGGTCTGTCTGGTCCTGAGCACTACGGAGGCTATCGGTAAGAATCTGTCCGATCTCAGTTGTGATGCCTTCAATTGTGGTAGCCGACACATAGACTTCGCCGTCGAAAGTCAGGATCCTTTTCGCAGCATCGTTCACTGCTGCCACCTCAGCATAGAGTCGCGGAGGGAGGAATGCACCGAGGTAGGTCAAGCCGATGGGGACATCCGCGGTATCATCGATAAACCGCAAGTTCCTCAACGGCTCCACTTCGCAGTGGGCATAATAGACCAGCTTCGCAGGCGGGACATTGCCACCACCATAATGGGAGCCAGCACGCAAGTAGCGCTGCTCCTCACTGCGTCCTGGATCGGGAAGCACAGCGTTCGACAGGTGATCGAATTTCTGCATGTCCTCAAGGCTGCGGCCCTCTTGCATCATTCTCACGTTGAACTGCGCGTCCTTCTCGAAGCGGTCGGACACGGTGTCAAAGTTCAACTTGGCGGCCCTGATCTTTCGGTCTTTGGCGTCACGAATGGCGGCGGCCTCCGCGCTCATCTGACCACGCTTCTTTGGTCCCTCGCCCAGGCCTCGAAGGTCACTCGCGAGGAGATCATCGATGGGCTTCTGGGCTCCGGTCGCAGCGGTGGCAAGAAGGCGCTGGCGGAGTCTCGAATTCTCAAAGACTCGCTTTGTGATTTTCTTGGAGTCATCCGTCTGGGGAGCCTTGCAACGGAGGCAGAACAGCATGCCATTGGCAACGACTGCTGCGCACTCGCGGCATGGGTGAGAGCCAAGTGGGTACGGCTCATCCTCACCCGCATCCGTTGTATCGCCTTCATCGACTTCGACCTCAACCTCAACCTTGGTTTCGTCAAGGTCGAATGCACCAGCAGCATCAGCAGGCTCACCCTCGCGGGTGGCTTCATCCAAGTCCATGCTTTCGTCCTTTTCGGCGATTGCGGCGGGCTTGGGAACCACCTTCGGCATCTTCTTTGAAGCAATCGCTTTGGGAGCGATAGCCGCCTGTTTTGGGGGCGGTGCCGATGATGAGCTTGCTGCTGCGGCCTCCTCATAGTCGCGCTTTGCGCGGAAAATGCGCTCTGGCTCACCCTCGCGGGCGGCTTCTTTGTGCTCGGCGACGTAGAGCGGGAGGTTCTTTTTGCTGGTGTCGATGGCGGACAGCACGCAATCGGGAGGCACATTGTCCCGTGTGAGGACGCCGTCGGTCTCCGTGACGAAGAAAACGCATCCAGCGGCGATTGCTCGCTGCGTGTCTATCGTCAACTCGATCGGCTGGTTGGAGCGCATTCCACTCTTGTAGTGGGTGTCGTCCAACTTGTACGGGGACAGGTAGTTGTGGGACCTGTCTGACCTCGCGGAGCCGGCGATCATTCCATCGCGGAGGATACCCTTCATTCCCTTTTCATTCGTGCGGTGGAAGAGCTTTGGGGGGGTATCCTCGCGGGAGAGCACAGTGACCCCCCTGACGCTGCTCTGCAGGTCTGCCTCGTACTCGGACAATCCGCTGTAGAACCTGGTCGCAAGGAAGAAGTCCGCGTCCGGGTTATTGCCGATGAGCTTGGACTTATAGCCCTTGGGCCATCCTCACTCTGACAGGGAATAGCGGTTGACCCAGGGTGTCCTTCATTGGGACGTCAATGCCCAAAAGTCTGATCCGTCCCTTATTATCGGCTTTCGCTGCGCGTAGCAGCTGCCTCACACCCCAGCGTGCGCCTCGTGCCGTGTTGAAGACCTGGAGCAGAGTGTCAACGTCTGTCCAGCACCCACGGTCAAAGATCAATGCAGGGAAGCTGTCCATTTCATGGCCACGCAGCAGCTTGGTGAGGAACTTCAGGTCTCCGTGTTTGAATGTCACGTGCCTGTCTCCTACAATGTCCTCCGGGTTGAAGGGCTTCATCAAGTGCTTCTTGCCATTGTAGAAGTACTCATTTGGAAGCTCTGGCACAGTGGCAGCCCCTTGCGGGGCGCTTTCATCGATGAACATGAGCCTACGCATGGCATCCTCGTCTCGATCAGACTTCTTAGTCTTCTTCGGAGGCGCTGGCTCAACAACACGTCCAATCGATGAGGGGATAGGGTCGACCTGGTCGCCCTCGTCCACCAGTTCCACCGTGCCCGGGGTGTTGTAGGACACCTTGCCGTCTGCGTCCTGTGTGACGATGTCATGGACGCATTCCGCCACAGCACTAACGTCCGTGGTTGCACCGATCCTTGGCACATCCTTGCGGATGGCTTTATCCATGGGTGGCCCCTCGGAGATCTTATTGACGTCGATTGCGTCAGCGGCATCTGGGGCTTCCCACATCTTGTCCTCCTGGGTGACCGGCATTGGCTTGGCCTGTTTCGGGTTCATCAGCTGGTCCTTCTCTGCACGCCACTGCTTGAAGACATCCTCGAGCACTGGATTGTTGGCATCGGAGCCAGTCTCAAAGTGCTCATAGCGAACAAGCAAAGCCCTGACACAGGGTGCCATCTTCTGGGCCAGCCATTCGCTCCTGCTTGCATTGATAGTCGCATGCAAGTAGGTCTGGAATAACTCGCGGTTGCGAGGGTCTTCGCTGGCGTGAAAGCTGTCATACATTTCCAGCTTTTCGACCAAGGAGCTTGCGGTTTGCACTTGCAGACCGCGCTGCCTGAACTCTTCGAACATAGCGGCATTGAAGTCGTTGTAGGCTGAGTGGAGTTGGAACAAGTCCGCCTCCACCTGCCCAATCACCTTCACAAAACCAATGTCCGGCTCGCCCGCGAGGGCGGCTAAAACATCCGCTGCCCTTCTCACTTTCCGTGCGACGGTCTCCGTTGTGACATTGGGATCTCTGTAGGCGAGTCCCGGTCCTAGCCGCGTGGGGATGCAGCCCCACTGGCCGGAGATCTCGTTCCCGCACCACCAGCAGATTATGTCGATGGTGTGGTCCGGATAGTTGCTCCTGAGCTCCTTCACATGCTCCTCGACCTGCCAGACAATCCACGCCAAGGTTTTACCCCAACACATGGTATAGCGAGTCTGCGCCCATCCCAGCGTAAAGCTTGCGATGTTCACTTCCGCATCCAAGTCGGCCTTAACGAACACTCCCCGCCTGTTCTTCTTGCAAAGTGCAGTGGAGCTGTCTGACACGACTATGATGGCTCGCTTGGCCTTGGGGCTCAACCTTGCGGTTGGCTTCAACTTGGCGAGTCCCTCGTCACTGAGGTCAGCCATCTGGCGCAGAGCCACAGTGGTTGCGTCGGCATGGGTCAAGGATACCCCAGCCGCGCACTGTGTGGATACGCAGCTGTACGCCGACTCCAAGAGCTGGCTCTCATGATCGGCGCCGAGCGAAATGATATCGTTGTTGAGGGCGGCGGATTGGAGAATGGTTTTCATGGCCTTGGTAACCCCATTCCTGTCTGCTTCGGAGGTGTTGACCCTGCAGAACTCGTCGCTCACAACGATGGCTGCCATCTTGGGGATCGTAGAAGTCGCTTCGGGCAAGTCGAGAAGATCAGAACCAGCTGAAATTGCAATGGCAGGCGTGCACATAAAGAAAGCCAAGATTTCATGGTCAAGGCTTGCAGTTTGTTGTGTGTTTGTGCACTCGAGCGATGTGTGTGCAAACGAATCATTTTCGAAACGAGAACACGGTTTGTTAAGCCTACCCCCCTCATCGAGAGGGGAACCAACACACCTCAAACAAACCATTGCATTCTGAGCTGGGAGCTTCAACTGAGCCGTAGGCAAGAGGAACTGCGCTTGATGTAGGAATTGTTTTTGCTTCTTGTTGAACTTCTGGTACCCCCCTGAAGAGTAGGCGATGAAGGAATGTCGTTCGCCAGTGTAGGGTTGTACACCATGTTTTGTCGATGGATGCAACAGAGTGGGCTTGCGGTATGTGTTGCAATTGTAGCCTTTGTGGTCTTTGCCATGATCATCTGTGTATATTCCCGGTGGTCCCAACTGGCTCGCGCCCTCAATCCACAGTGTCCCCCCTGTATAGTTACCGAAGGAGAACGTCAGGTTGTACGATTCTTTCTGATTGTACTTATCCGTGTGGATGCGGGCCTTGCCATTGAAGTTGAACACGAACGAAGTCCATGTAAACCCTTTCGGAGATGATTGATTAACAAATCCATTCACATACCTGCAAATCCATGGATAATGTTTTGTGCGGTTGGTAATACCAAAGCACCCACCATGGACCCAAGCGCCGAACACCAAGTATTTGGATAGGTTCTCAGAAGCCATCAATGCTCGCGGTTTTGCCAATGATGCCTTGAGATTGGTACGAATAAGCCCAGCTAGCTTTTCGAAGGTCTTGAAGCTGTAATCGTTAGCCTCGAACGATTGTTGAGCGAAGTCCTCGACAACCTTTGATGCTCCGGAGCTGCTGCTACCGAAACCTTGTTGTCAACCTCGACCTTCGACTCGGGTTTGCACCCGGCTACGTTCGCGCTGGTTGTATGTCCAATAAGCTTCAAGGCATGCGTCCACTTGTTCTTTTCAGTGAAAGGCTTCGTGAACACATCCGCCACTTGTTCGGCTGTACCAACATTCAGTAGCTTGAAATGCCCAACCTCATATTGCTGCTTTAGCCATGAGAAACTCACCCTCTGTGTCCGATCAGTATGTCGTAGAACACCAGCTTGCCCTAGCAACAAAAGAGTGATTGTCGCCTGGTTATCCTCCATATGTCTAACTCGAAACTTTCAGGAAGCTGGACACAGAGGCCGTTGATGTCTGCGATTGACAACCCATCCGGTCTAGTGGACCCGTAACGAATTTCGTCAAGTTCAGGGTCAATGCGTGCAACTATCGAATCCACCCTCTCAGCCCTTGGCTCGGCCTTGCGGCCGGCATCTCCACGCCATAGGAAATACCACAAGCTCAGGCAAGGTAGACCTTCGGCACGTAAACCGTGATTCGCTGCTACAACTTCGGACTCAGTAGAGCTCATTGTAATAGATGTTTGTTTCTTGCTGAAGGCATTGAGGGGAAAGTACGTGTTCGGTCCAACCAAAAACATCGCACATCCTGTAGTCGATTTTGAATCGAATTCGCCCGCAAAGTCGGAATCGCTGAACAACCATAGTCTGCAATCCATTATGCTGTCGCCTATGAAACCGCTCATAGTGACATCAAGCGAAGAGTTTATGTAGCAAACCAACCTGTGAAGTCCCAAGTCGCAATCTGGGCTCCACTTGGTCACCCTCGACGCTAAAGACTGTGTTGCCCTTAGAAGGTCCCATCTGGCCATGCGAGCAGCGAACAAAATCTTCATTAGTACCTTACTAGCAATAGGTTGCAAACGCCCTGCCTTCTCTCCTTCGGAAGCTGTTGGCAAAGCCACACGTAGCTCATGGAAGGGGGTTGCAGCTGGTTTCAGGGTCTTACGCTCTACCTTAGCAAGCTCGCAGTACCGATCAACGCAAGAGTCGAGAAAGTCCTTCATATCGTACGTGATGCGAGTGACTGGCTTGGTCATTGCGCCGGGCTTCTCTTTAACGTCTTGCGACAATGTAACAAACTTGCTCTGCTTCGCCTCCTTTTTAGCCTCAGACTTGTTACGAACCGGCTTGCCCTTGCGGGCAGCTGCAACTGCCAGCTCGAAATCAGACTGTTCCCGGCCTGCGAGGTCGAAGTAGGTTTCGCCGTCCCACCAATCCTGAAGACAGCGATCGCGCATTTGATTGCAACTGTCAACAACAACTTCCTCCGACTCACCCTTGCGGGTGGCTTTAGCCACCACAGTGTATCTCCGAGGGCCGATCCCCGGGAACATTCTAGCATCATCCTCGTTGGGGACATAAAGTCTTTTGCGAGGATAACGGTGATGTCGGATTGCTATGAGATTCTCGGGGTCAATGTCCCAATAGTCTTCTTTTCTAGCAGGAGTTGCAGCTGATGATTCGGGCTCAAACACGTGACGAAAAGGGTGTGCTTCCTTGGGCAGCTTGAGGTTGTGTTCTTCCTTGTGCATGCACCCAAAGTATCTACCAATGGCTTCCGGAAGATCCATATCAATGACGCTCGAGATCAAGTCCCATCCCTCCTTGATAGAGTTCTTAGGGCCAGCGAGTTTAAAGTCATCGACGTATACCACTAAAAGCAGCTTCTTCTTCGGGTGGTAGAATACACTCTTCCAAATGTCAGTCAATACTGCCTCGAACCCGACTTTCTTCAACTCAGCTTCGCAATGATGTTCCCAAATCCCCCCTGAATCGGGGTGTCCGTAAAGTGCCAACTTGAGTGGAACAACAGGATCTTTCATGCCCTGCCATGCCTTAGGCCAGCGATTGCGAGGCAACCGTACCCAAGTGGCAACCCCTTGGAACAAAGCATGGGTGTATGCTTGCTTGGCGTCGGCTTGCTGGATGATGTAGCCAGGTTGTGAGCCAAAGACGTCAAGAATCTTTCCTGCTTCCATAGATGCAGGACTGCTTGACATCTCCGCAAAGAGCGCGTGATCGGCGTTTTCATCAAGTACTTTATTTCCCTGAAATACCGAACGTCCCTTATACTTACGGTTGGGGTCGCCTTCTTTCAGCTCGGCTCCCTTTAGGGTACCAATCTCAAAAACGTTGCCAAAGTGAACCTTGGTTTGAGATTTCTTAGCTTCGTTGGCAACCGACTCGAACTCCCTGACTTTGCCTTGTACCCAGCAGCCCTTGTCAACCAATTTCTGCCATTCTTTGTCCATGGCAGCCTGCGCCTTAGGGTTTGTTGCAATCTCCTTAGACGACAGGACCTTGGCGACAACAGCATACATCTCATCTGCGATCTGAAAAAGCTTCTTGTCATATAGCCCTTTGAGTCGTTCCCGATGTTCCTCGCTACACCCATGTAGGACTGGCATTGCAGGTACCGCCTTTACAGCTTCACGATACAGTGCCTCATTCTCCTCATGTAGCTTCTTCTCATGTTCTGCAATTGCTGTTGCTCTTTGTCTTTTCGACATAGCCTTCCATGCAGTATGATCAATAGCGTTAGGGCGGTTCTTGTTGTTCTTCTTGACCAAACATTCCCCACTCCACGTATAACCATACGGTGGTTCTTGCGCTGCTACTGCTGCGCTGGACTTCAGCTTCTGCTTCACAGAGAACGGAACATCATCAAGCAATGCTGCACGGGAATCAGACTTTGACTCACCCTTGCGGGTGGCTTCTTTCGCGTCCTTCGGCGGAGGATCTTTATCACGATCAGGACCAAATAGCTCTGGGAACATTTCATCCAGGTCTTCGCTAAGTTGTTCCTGAATTGCGGCTTCATCGTATCCCCCCCCTTCCTCCAGAGGAGGATGCGGGTTTTGCTCATCAAGGACATTGTGATGTTGTGCATCAAGGCTTGGTGGTTTATCCAAGGCAGGCTCTTGCAACAAAGGGAACTTAAAGTCACCATCTGGTAGCTCCAGTCTCTTAGTCCGAAACACACGTAGGTCTTCGTTTTCCAACGCGGCTTCGATGTTGTGTAGGGGAGCAACAACGTACTCAAGCTTGAAGATAAAACCAGGTTGGATGTGGTACCCAAGGAATATACCTTCAATCCCTGTGCCAGCAAACTTGGATCGTTCAGGCTTGCGTTGCTTCTTCGGGGCCCAGTAGAGGACTTTCGCTCCAAAGGGAATGCGCATGCCGTTGAACTTTTCACCGTACCTGATTTCCCACGGAATCTGACCATTGTCAATTCTCGCAGTGATGTTAAGACACATAGCATGATGTTGCGATGCAAGAGGCCAATAGCGATCTGGAAGTCCTGATTGCACTAGATTGGCCCGTGTGCCTTCCAAAATTGTTCTGATTTCTCGCTCGATTACGGCCTTGTTTTCGTTCACATACTCTCTAGAAGTGTTGTGACGAGCGCGAAGCTGTCTGGCCGCAAAGTCAAACTCCAACGCATTGTCGGAATATATAACCTTTACCTCATCATCTGTACCAAGGAAGTGCAACATGTCTTCGTAGCACTGCTCACCAGACTTTGTCTTGGAAGGGTACACGTATCTAAACTTAGAATACACGTCCTTCACAACATGAGCCACGGTTTCATCTTGGAACCCGTAATCCTTGGCATCAGCGGTCACGATGTGATCTACTGTGATGTGGTCACCGAACGATTTACTGTAGATTGTAGAGGATCCACCAGATTTACGCGCCTGGGGCGCATACATCTTGGCCCTTTGGCAAATGGGGCAGAACGGATTCTTTGGTCTATGGGTAAGTCGATGTTCCAAAGACACAGCCTCAGCCCTCAAGGAAGCTTCATCCTTCTTAGACTTTGGCATTGTGTATGGCTCGACATCGCTGTCGGCTTGCGCCTCAACTTCCCCTTCAGGCAAAGCAAACAATGTGATAGTCGCAATAGTCCCTTCAGGTACTTCCCCATAGATTCCGTCCAATTCGTCAATGTTGACTGAATCCTCCAACAAAGACCACACGTCATCCTTGAATCCCCAAGTAGTCCGGATTCTATACCTCGGGAACTTAGGAGCCGGTGTTCGAAACGTCTTTGGGAAATGTGCCACCTTAGCAGCGGGGCTGCCGTTGATGACAGTCCAACCTGCCTTTAGCAGTTGCCTCGTTTCCACCCCAGGAATGGGAGGAATGCAATTCGCCATCTTTTCGATGGGATCTTCTGCCGCGCCAGCTGGACCTTCAGGTTCATGTTCGTGCTCTCCCCTAGCTGGTGCGGCGTGCCCTTGCGGGCAGCTGTTTACCGAAAACCCGAACCAGACTTGACAGAGGTCGGTGCAACCTTGCTGCCATCAGATTCTGAGGACTTTGCTGCTAAGCATGCCATCAATGGTCCTCGGTCGCCAAATACGGGGACATTGCCTCGGAGTTGGCAAATCATCTTCTGACCGTCTGGGCAAATGAAATATGGCGCCTCGCCCGCTGGCCAGTGGAAAGAGAACCCCTGTTCCATGCACTTCTTTCCTACAGAGCAAACTGCAGGTGTGTTGGGGAGCTCAACGAACTGCAGTGGGTTCCTCAATGACTCAATGTAGACTTCATGCTTGGTATCAGCGTCTACTGGTCCGTTAGCAGTGATCAAACTCACTGGGTTGGAAGCAAACTTCTTAGCCTTGCCCTTGAAATGGGCCTCCAAATCAGAGTGACTAATCAGATCTTCCTCGCTACCGGTGTCTGCGATGATTTCGAGGTTCTCACCTGTCACCGCCGCTGCAGCAAGTTGGGGCAGGGGAATTGCTTCTTTGCAGTGAATGCAGAATCCTTCTCTACCCCGACACCTGTAGTTACACTTGACCCGAACCTTAAGCTTCATACCGTTCACTGCTGATTCCAAGTGACGGGCATTCTGCAAAGCTTCTTCGGTGTCCTCTGGAATTGATGGTGGGCATAGCTCCGCAGACTTGTACCTGAATTCGAACTTGTGCTTGTCTGGTACGAAGCTCCAGCCTTCACCCTCAGGCGGGATGTCAATGATTTCTGGCCTTAGGAACTGAACTTTCCTGCTTCGGGGCTTTCCGGCAGGGCCCTTGCGGGCTGCTACTGCGTAGGCCTTCACAGCATCGGCCGGTGGCTCACCCGTGAGGGTGGCTGTGAGGGAAAGACAGCAAGCGGCTGGCTTGTCCTCACTCTTTGGCCTTTTCTTACTGGGTCGCCTGCGCTTGCCGGAGGGCGATCTCTTCCCGTCCTTGCCAGCCTTATCGCCTTTGGCCGGGACAGAGGGAGCGGCATCCTTGTGCATGAATGGGCAATTCTTACCGTTCTTGCAGGTGCCTTTGGGGTAAAAGATGCAAGGAATCTTAGAGGTATCCTTCTTCTCCCCACCTTTACCGCCTTTACCTCCACCTTTTCTCGAAGGGGTACGTGGAGGCGTTCTGCCCCTTGTCTGTTCAGGAGTAGGCTTCACATGCTTGTATGGGCACTTATCACCTCGTGGGCACTTCCCACGCTGGAAAGCGTAGCAGGGCTTGTCCTGGCTTCGGCCGCGAGGGGTGTTCGGGGTATCGGAAGGAGCAGGGGCACCAAATCTGGCGCCGTGAGCTTTGGCGATTGCTGTGCGGTTTTTGCGAGTCCTATCTCTAGCCAATAGCTCTTTCACGCATTTGACCAAGTAGTCGTAAGTGCGTTGCTCTGTTCCTTCCTTAGCCCTGTCGTAAACCTCCAGATCAAACTTGAGCTTGCTAGCATTGCGAAGCTGACGAAGTAGAATATCTCTCAGCGTAGTCTCCTCGGGTTGGTGATTCAACCGCGATGACCGACTCCCAGTTGTGAATGAAAGTGCTAAGGTCATCACCATTCAACTGCACCTTGAGTAGATCTTCTACAGAGTAGAGGGAGCCTGCTTCTTCGTTGGTCTTAAAGTAGTGTTCGAACATCAGTAGAACCTGTCTACCACGAACGGCCCTACCAGCAGCTGCCTCAGACTCCTTGTAGTTAATGATCTGTCGTCCAAGATCACCCCTAGCAACCCTCGAGAGCGCCGAAAGGATCTTCGTGTCCAAAGTGAGGAATTTACCCGTGTCCCTCAACTTCTCCGCATCGGCGTCCCTGGAGTAAACCTCTTGAACCCATTTGAATGCCTCATCGGGTCTGTCCGATGCTGCCCGAACGGCCTCCCTAACTGTGATCTTCCAGCTCCTATAAGTCTCCGGGTTAGGGAAGTCGGGTAGCTTCACCGTTTCAGCTTCCTTAGCCTTGGGTTTGTCATCATCAGGCTTCTGGATAACCGACTTGAGTGCTTCAGCGAGAAGTACGCTAGGTTCTTTGTTTTCAGTAGATTCTGCCGGTTCTTTGTTATCACTCTGTTCAGCAGCAGATACCGCTACATTGTGGGCCTTGGTATCCTCAGGCTCTCCAATGTCATACCGTTGGGTCCTTCCCAAAACCGTCCGAAGCGACACAGGAATCTCCCTGGGGTTCGGAAGGGTCGGAATCCATGAATGGCTAGGACCCTGAACAAGCGGCGCTGCGGCACCACCTTGCGGTGGGCTTGGTTGAAGTTTGGAGCTCTCACTGGGATCGACTTTCACCGGCACGGCACCACCTTGCGGTGGGCTACTCTCCGCTGTCGACAAGACAGTCCTGAGTGAGTCGACCTCAGCTATAAGCTCCGCGTTCCTGTCCTGCAGGTCATCAACCAAGCTATCGTACTGCTGTGCCTCAGAGGTTAGCCTATGGTAGTACTCGTTTTCTTCCCATTGAAGCTTTTCCTCAAACTCAGACCCTAAAAAGGCAATCATCTCACTGTGGTTTTCTTCGATACTCGAGCGCAATTCCGCGAAACGGCGTTCATGCTGTCTGTTTTCCGCAGTGAGCGTGCGCGCTGCTGCTTCCAGCTCGGATCGATGTGCATCAAACTGCATGGCCATAGACCTTTCATCATGACTTTCCCTTTGTGCGCGTGCCAGCTGTGCCTGCAGCTCATTGGCTGATTGTCGTTCTGATCGGGCGATTGTCTCTAGCACTCGTACTTCATTGTGTAGCTGTCCCACCAACAGGTGCGTGGATTGGCTAACAAATGCTAGCTGTTGACGATGATTCGCATCCGCTGTTGCCTCTAGGTGTGCAATGTATGCGTTGGCTTCGGCGTACACGTTGTCCAATGCAAATCGATGTCGTTGTTCCGCGCGAAGCTCCAAGGCACTTTGAATGCGGGGGTCATTCAGGAACAAGTTCACCTGAGTATTCTCCTGCAACAAATGCAAGAAGTACTGGTTCGCTTCCTGCTCCTGTCTACCACCAATACCACCGTCACCGTTGTTGCCCGCGGCCGTTGAGAACGGCACGATGTCCATTACGGAGCTAACTACGGCTGATAACCTGAAGTTTCCCAGGCTACCAGCTTGGCACGTCTAGTTACCGGTCAGTCAACCCTTGTGACCTTTTTCCACGGGGGACTTGGGCCAAGTGCGGTCGCGTAAAGACATAGCTAAGGACCATAGGAATAGCAATGGAGGCAGGGTAAAATCTACAGGATCGATAAGGGTATGTACTTACTATCTTCTATAATACAAGCTGTGGGGGATAGGGGCGTTCTCAGAACCATGGCTCCCTGGCTAGATTCCCGTTCCAACAAACGTCTACTGCATGCTTTTGGGTATATGGTATATGCCTAGTATATGTGCGCAGCTGTAGCCTAGGGTATGCTCCTGTCATGGCACCAATCCAGGACTGGTGCTAGGTGCACTCGTTGCAAAAAGGTGTGCTGGATGTTCCGCCGATCGGCTTGGCATAAACATGTAATAAAGGCAGATGGCTCAGGTTTCGGGGCTACCGCGAATGCGTGTGGACGCCAAGCTCCTGGCAGCAGCTCCTGTCAAACGGATTGACTTCCCGAAATGACGACAGTGGCGTGCATGAGGCCATGGAAACTTTGTGAGCTAGATTCCTATCGTTGCGAGACTAGTGGTAGCCGTCCTCACCTAGTGCTAGTGCTATTGCTGAATGCCACTGTGCTGGCAAAGGCCTCTCCGGCCACTGCAATTGCTGAACTAAAACGCGCCTGGATGAGGTCCCCCCCGGGCTCGTGTTGGCAATCTCTTGATATCCAAAGCAGGATCCGATATCGCATTGCTTCGAAGACTATAACAGTAACTTATAACCCTACTTATAACCTACTTGCTAAGTCCCCTGGGCCTCTGAGTAATGGCTAAGGCTTACTTTCGGCGCCTGGGAGCCCGAGGGTGTAGCCTTCTGAACTTCGATCGCAGTGTCTGCGACTGCAGCGACATCCAAAGCCCGTGGAGATGCAAAGGCAACATCTCACTCAAGCACAGGAGTATAGATTATGCAATACAACACGTATAACATCTATTATATAAGAAAGTTTATGATGAGTATAGTACCCAAACTCCGCAACCCAAAACGCAGTACATATACAAGACCCCGTCCTTCTTTTTGCAGATGTCACCACCAAGCTTTCAGGCGAGTGCCGGTAGCTGTTTCGGGTGAAGCCCGGGCCTCAAGGTAGGATTACAGTAGAAGCCCAAAAGTTGGAAACCCTGTAGCCTCAATCCTTAAGAGTAGTGTGTAGGGAATCCCAGCACTATTTGGCCTTAATCCGGTTTCCAACTTTCTGGAATTCACGAAAATGCGCCGACATGATCTGTACTGGGATCGACGCTGAGATTGGGCCTTAGGCTTATGCTTCCGGGTTGATAACCTGCCTACAATGCCATTCTGGGATGTTTAAAACACGATTGTGCCATGCTTAGAAGGCCAGGCAACCTTAAGTTTGCATCCAGCAACGTACACGAAGAACAAGGATTCAAGGTAACCAGAACCCGAACTATAAACCGCTTAGATGCCTGATCCTTTCGGTGTGCACCTAACTTCTGGGCACATGTCATGCAAAGGCCATTTTTGCAAGGTCCCAAACTCTTACGTATACCAACAACTTGGGCCTTAAATGTCAAAAGTGTATTTAGCTCAGAGATCCTTGCGGTGGTTTTCTTCAGGAGAGTCATGATGTATCCCCAAGGATCCAAGTATCTAACAATCATACACTCTCCAAACTACTGTCCTAAAACCCGGTACCCAATTATTGGATCCTTAGACTATAGGTAGGGTCGAAAGGGACTTGGTGAGCTCCCACCCGAAACTTGCAACAGCATTCTCTGGCAACCTGCTTGCATACCCATGGCTTCGTGGAGCCCGGGAGAGGATCAAGCGGGATTGCCGGAGAGCTCTACAACATCTGGAGGCTCCTCCTTCTCTTCACATCGTACACTTGGGGAATTCGAACAACTAGAGTAAGTAGACATTCCTTGCTTTCTTTTGGAGGGGTTCCTACGCTCAGGATCTCACGTGCGCGGTTGGTCGGGTTCATGATGTTCTGAAACTGCGGTCGCGATCCGGGAGAAACTCCCGCGGACTGCTGAGAAGCAGCTAAGGCTATGCCGCGAAACACAAGGCCGGTACGAGGTCGGAATTCCGAGAGATGAACACGGATAACCCCAATGCACCAACATACGGTTGATGATATAAACAATGCATTACCCATATTACATAACTCCCATAGTCTAGGGTCCTGAAGGTAATGCAAGGTTTATATCATCAACCGTAGGTGCTGGTTTTTAAACTTTAGACTCCAAAGAAGTCGGTGCTACTTGTTTAGTGGGCCCCAAAGGTCCATGTACCCAAATAGTATGCACATTGGCCCCGATGTCCCTATATATTTGGACTACTTCAAGGCCAACATAAATAGATAAATAAATAGAAATATATATATATATATATATATATATATATATACTGTTCGGTTACTTGGACCCTTAGGGTGGAGAGCCCAAAAGATCCCAAAGCACCAATCTAACTGTTCAGCCCGGGCCCCCATATTCAACCTGGACAAAGTTTTCTTGATTTCCGATGGCCCGGAGGTTTTCTCGGAACTGCGACTCCATGTCCGTACAGTAGAAGCAAGAAAGTTGGAACATCACTAGCCTCATGCCCTTAAAGTGAAGTATAGGCAATCCCAGCATGACTCATCCTAAATCCATGTTCCAACTTTCCGGGGTTCACCATATAGTATGGCTCCAAGGTTGTTCAGGGTTGGAGGGCTCAGGCTTACCGTTCCGGGATCGGGGTTTCGGTTTAGGGTCTGGGCTTGAGTGTCTCATTTACAGGGTGGTACGGATGGCTGCACCGTACTCTCTAGAAGCCTAGACAAGTAGATCTTATCCACCTCTTTCGGAGATCCTCCCCAAAGTTGACATGGAAACGACGCAGATCGGCTCTCCAAAAAATGTGCAGAAGCCGCCGTTGTGATCACTGAACCCGGCTCAGAGGTTTGGAGTTCGGCTTGTTTCTTAGGTTTAGGGTCGAAAAAACTTCCCCCCTGGAGACTTGATCAAATAGAGCTGTATACTTTAGAAGCTGCCCCCACCCTGTAATAGTGGTATAATAGGAATATAATAGGGCCCTAATATAATCCTTATAGTCACTATTACAGGGTCGGGGTATACTCAATGGTTAAAGGTTGAAGTTTAGCGTGCAGGGTTTAGCCCTGAGGATTTAGGGTCTAGGAGTTAGGATCATAAGCATATCCAGGGTGCAGGGCTTAGGGTTCAGGGTTTGTTGATTAGATGACCCAAAACATGGAAAGTGCGGCAGGGTACTGCCAGGGACCTAGAACCTTTCTTTTGCAGCGACACCTAGAAGCTTAAACTCGCGGACCCTGATAAGCGCAGTAAAGAACCCCAAAGCCCTCCTGAAGCCCTCATGTGCCGAGGAGTCCTGAACCCGTGACCCCCAAAACCTGAAAAGCCTCAAGCTCCTACACCACGATTCCGAAACCCCAAACCCTAAATCCCAAATCCCTAAACTCGCAGCCCCCGAAATCCGAAACTCGACACTCCTAAATCCTATATCCCGAACCCTAACTAAAACTCCGAACCTCCTCAACCGGAACTCTCAAACCCTGCGGGACGTAGATGCAACTTCCGATCCGAGCTCAGGTCGCCCGGAAAAGAGATGAAGTCATCTCAAGGCCCCCGGGAGGATCCCAAAAAGTAGATCCCGGGGGGGTTCCTATAAGGTACCCTCGGTAGTATACCCAGAGGCCCCAAAGTAGTTCCTTTTTGGGATGACCTTATAGGATTCTATATCTGAACCCCAAAGGGAACTACTTTGGGGGCCTTTGGGTAAGGCCCCTAGATCCTCCCGGGGGTCTGGGTCTCAAGGCTCGGCCCCTCTGTTTCTCCGTCGGGGCTCCAGTTCCTGTAATTTAGGGGCCTGAATACGAGGGCTCCGGGTTCTATAAGGTGTCTATACGGGATCAATAGTAGGGTTCTGCAGCAGGGGCCTTAACAATGAGAATAAGGTTTTGAGGTCTATTATGCTATAGTTAAAATAAGGAACCCCCCAAAATAGTAATTGTAATCATTAAGGCCCCTATAGGGAGGATTCCTGTACAGTCATGGCTTTGCTTCTGTCTCGCGTTTTTTTGAAGCTCTCCCACATCGGGCTCCCATGAGGTTTTTTTTGGACTGCGATAATGTATGTGTTACGCAGGCATGTAGCTAGTTCGATCGCAAGGCAAGCTGGGAGGCAGAGAGAGAGAGAGAGAGAGAGTGAGGAAGAGCGAGAAGGAAGCGTGAGACGTGACAAAGTCAACTGGGAATACCCGGTACGACTGTGGCACCCCTAAACAGGAGTCCTTCTGCAGAGCTTCCTATCACAACTTTCCACCTTGACCGGCCTCTGTCTCTTCACCCAGAAACACAAGACTGGACTCTGAAAACTCAAACTTGTAACCCAACCTATAGTCTCCATTGTAGTTCCTTTTTTGGGTTATCTTATAGGATCCTGAGTATATAGTGGGTTAAACCAGAAAAGGAGCTACAATGGAGACTAGAGGAAGTTTCCTAGACTCTCTCCATCTACCAGCTACGTATACTAGACCTAGGTACCTACTATTGACGGCCATAGACGCCTATCTGAGGGTAGAAGAAGGATCCTAGTATTGAAGCTTAACGCAATGATCAAAAAGGCTGAAGTGGAGCCCTCTCGATGGAGTCAATTATGGCCGTCTGCGTCCGAAAGCCCACGACGACAAACTGCAAGAGTCTCCAGGTATTGGGCGTACAGTTCTCCGAAAATTCCCTAAGACTCCAAATAGCCCAAAATAGGCGCCGTTTATAGACTTCAAACACAAGAGTACCTTTTACTATTTGTATACTTGGAGTCTTAGGGGTAGGCTCAACGAGAAGCCTCCCCGCGAATCTCAGAATATCACTTCCACGAGTTCGTCGATGAACCGTTCTTCCAAGAGCTCGGCAGTGAGGGAGTTCACGTCGAAGAGCTGGTTGATGGGATGCTCTCCTTCCCACAGTCTTTGTCAAGGAACTTGTAAAGGTACACAGCAAGTAAGAAACGCTTCGCACATTTATGGCTTCGACAAACCCCTACTACGGCAACCTCGCCCCCACAGCTACTGTCGCTAGCTTGTCGGGAATGATGGTGATCGGGTCTCAGGCTGGTACAGGTCATGAGACAATTGGGGCCGCGGGAAATCGAGGAGGGACTGACTTAGCAGAGGCCAAAACCGAAGAACCGCCCCAAACCCAGATCACGGGCCTCTTGTTTTCTCTAGTGTTGTATGTGGAATTCATTATGACACTGGCACGCCGTGTATGGACAGCTACTTGCTTCGCTTAGACCTCTCTTCCTCCTCCAATTGGAACGAGCACGCGGGTCTGGTACGAAGGCTGGGGGGATGCAGGTACAGAAATTCCACCTGGGTGGTTGTCAAAATTATGGTCCCTTTTTGGGAACCCTAGATAATATGTGCAGTATAATAATAATAGGGACCGAAAAAGGGACCGTAATTCTGACAACCACCCACCTTTACTTTACTTCGCATCAGCGCCACAGCCCGGAAACTCAACCCCGCACACGGAGGCAGAACGCCACCATCTTCAACTCTAGGGGTTTAGGGGTCCTTTAAAGGGGTCTAAGGTTCCTTTAAAGGGGTTTTGGAGTTGAGGGTTTAGGGTATTGTCTCCATTGTGGTTCCTTTTTGGGGTTACCTTTTAGGATCCTTCCTATAGAATTGGTTGGACCAAAAAGGAACCACCATGGAGACCACAGGTACACTGTAGAACTTCACCCCAAGCAGAAGCCCCAAAGCCCGAAACCAAACATTCCCAGTCACAGCCCTGAAATCCGTGAACCCTACAGCGCCAAACTCGCGAACCTCCCGTAAACAAGGCAACCAAAAAATCAAACTATATATATATATATATATATATATATATGACCCCTCATGGAGCTGTACGGAGACCTTATGCAACGAAAACGAACTATTATATCACAAATTCTTTAGCGCCCGAAAAAGCCCTCATGAAAACCACAAACGGCCCTATACTCGATACTCCCCAAAGGCCCGACAACATCCTGAGGCTCTAAACGCCCCAAAGCCTCCAGCGCTAAACCCCAAGGCCCTAACTAGGCCCTAAACCCCGTAAATGCTCTAAATCCTCAAGCGCCAAACACCTGAATTTCAGCGCCCAAAACCCTAAAGCCATGAACCCCAACGCCCTACACCAGTATCATCCTGAAGCCATGAATTCCAAACCGAAGATAACTCAAAGGCGCCATTTCGCTCAAATGACCGGCCAACGTCGTCGAACTTGGCCAGCTCCAATGGCGTGCGGCCATCTCAGCTTTTCTGGGTGGGGATTCGTGCTATGGGGCTCAACTATTTGCTTAAGAACCCCCAAAAAATAAAAAATATATTCCTTATGGGGGTAATATAGGGATTATTATTTTTATTTTTGGGGGTTTCTTAAGCAAATAGTAGGGCTTTGGGGGCTTCTTAGGGTCAGGGGCTTATCATTTCGACTCGCACACTCGCTCGAGGCAGGCACGGCTCCATGTGGTCGGCTTGCTACCGTTACGACCGTCACATGCCAGCGTCGGGGGACAAGCGAAGCAACGAACTAATCAGGGGCTTATTTAGGGTTTAGGGTTTTGGATGGTTGGATGGTTGGGGGTAGAGACGGGTTACGGTTCACGGTTGGCTCCTAGCTACACCGTAAATCTGTCGCCTAAACAAAAAAAGCCCTTGGCAACGAAACCCCAAAACACTACCCTAAACCCTGTATAGAATTATTTTCTGGGTTGTAGTTTTGGGGCTCCTGAACAGTATTTAAAAAATAGGTACCTCTATGGGAAAGATACATGGAAATTCACAAGTTTCCCAAATTGCCACCCAGCTATGGAACCCGCATAATATAGGGGCCTTAATAATTAATTACCTATACTAGTTTGGGGTTCCTTATAATATAAGATAATATAGCATAAAAGGCCCCAAACCCTATTCTAACAACGAAGGCCCCTATCCTTAATATTGAACTATTTTTTTTTTGGGGGGGGGTCCTTACTCTATTTATAGCATAAAGGGTGCCACAACCCTATTCTCATCATCAAGGTTATGAAGGCCCCTATAGTAGGATCTCCTGCAGGCCAGGAGACGTCGGTTCCGTTTCTGGGGGTCCGCTCGGGCACGCAGGAGGAAGTCGACATATTCAACGTTGCCGCATAGTGATGCATAGCCCAAAGGCGTGCCTGATTGGGGCTGCGGAGTTCAGGGTTTAGGGTTCAGGGTAGCGTGCCTGATTGGGGGACCCCGAACAAGGTAGGTAGGTTCTTGGGTGTCCAAGTAGGGTTGAAGTATAGGTGCATGGGGCTACGGTTCAAAAGGTTCTACGGATCTGGATCTACCAGCTTTTAGGGTTGAGGGTTGTCTATGATCAGGGTTTTTGAATCACCAAACCATTCCTGGCATTGGTTGTGTTGTTGTGCACTTGGATGCTTACAATAACCTTTACCCTAACCCCTGAGATAAATCCTTTAGGCCCTAAACCCTGAACCATCAATTAAACCCTGCTTGGGCCTGGGAAAGACTGCCAAGATACTGCTGGAGTTCGAGAAGAACTTCACCAGAAACGGAGGCTCCTTCACTCTGCAACATGGGGGATGATAAGATGCCCACACTACAGTTGCCTAAGGCCGGCGGTAGCAAAGTTCGATGGGTAGATGCTACATAATATAATGCTACTGCCATGTATGGGTGCTCCTGCATTACGGTAGCAGGTAAGGGAACTTGGGGCTTTATGCGTTTGGGTTCAATGGTCGACCCCTTCAGGGCTTTAGAGTTTAGGAGTTTAGAGCAGATTAGTGCATCTTGCAAAACAGTTCCACATTCTTGAGTACATAACCCACTGGACTAGCAAAGGCGAACAGCTAACAACCAAAAGAAGTAGGTTCTCCGGCACGACAACGTGTCCTAAGCTACCTTTACCAATTCTGAGAATTTGTTGTGGCTCGGACTTGAGTAGAGTCCCTCAGCTAGCGCCCCGAGGACATCTCAGCGCCAACCTGGCATGCAAATATCGTCTCGAACTCGCTGTGGGACACGATAGGGGCAGTTCACCCTAAACCCTAAACTCTAAATATCGGAAGACGGATCTGCAGCATCTGGTATGCCAAGCACTTAAGATCGATCGCCTTGCACTGCAAATCCTGTGCGCCCTGAATGCGTAACAAAACCCAGCAGAACCCAGAGGTCACCCAAAGGAAATCGGCTATGTTTTCGGTACCCATGTTGGAATATATGGGTGGTTGTCAAGATTATGGTCCTTTTTGGGTACCTAAAATATTAGGTGCCGTACTATAATATGGACCCAAAAAGGGACCATAATTTTGACAACTACCCATATAGGTTGGCCTCAACAGCATATACTACATTGGTACGTAGGCCTTTGTTTGGGTCACACCATATCCACCTTCATCATGCTGGCGTGCTTGTATCATCATGCTGGGTGCTTGTAGCCGAAACTCTACACCCTACAGTTACACTGCTACACGCTTGAAGGGGCCCCCACCCTGTAATAGTGACTATAAGGATTATATTGGGGACCTATTATATTCCTATTATACCACTATTACAGGGTGGGGGCCCCTTTTGAGCTACGGGCTTGAAGACGGAATCTCCGAGTCAAAAGCCTGAACCGCGAAACCCTCACGGCCTGAAGATCTCAAACCCTACGCTCAAAAGAAACCTAAACACCCTGAAGCCCTCATAGAAATATGATCGATCCCTTAGTGGCCTCTTTAAATTTGAAACCACCCTGCTATATAGGCTTTAATAATTATGATAGTGTCTGCGGTAATATTAGACCATAGTTATAAGAAGGAGCCCACGAAACAGTAGTTGTAATTTTGTCGACCCCTACAGTAAATGCCGGGTCCTTGGGTACAACCCTGAACCCGAAAACCCTAAAACCCTGACCCTAAACTCAATCCCTAAACCCCTAAACCCTACCTAGAGGCTCATACCCTACCCCTTTTTGAGGGCGCCGGCTTTTTAAGATAACAGATCCTAACCATAAAACTAGGTATCCTAAAAAAGGGGTAGGGTATGAGCCTCTAGGTAAATTTTGGGTCCTTGGATACGGCGGAATATGCCCGAGCCATCTGCTCCAGAACCCGGAAGGGCGTGCTGGTCGTCGGAGGCAAATTCACGTCCGCCTCAGGTGCCCTAGCTTGCTAACCCTAAGGGTCCATGTACCCATATAGGGGTTCCTTTAAGGGTACTTTAAGGGTTACTATAAGGGTTCTAGAAGGGATCTACTAGGGTTCTATAGTTTAAGGGTCCATATACACTACTATTATGGAATTAAGTCCCCAAAACCAGAATGGGGATGATCTTCAGGGCCTAATTCCATAATAGTAGTGTATATGGACCCTCTGGGTAAGGGAGTTTCCGAAAATCGGGAACCCAAATACAGCACCCTAAATAATAGGATCCTTACGACAGGTTCAGGGTTTACTGTTTAGGGTTCCTTCTTAAGGTCACATTGTAGCATCCTAAATAGCGTGTTGGTTAAACCAAAATCAAGGAACTACATGGAGACTACATGTAAATTGGTATGGGCCCTCGAAATTCTAAATCTCGGGGGCCCATAACTTCATAGAAGTCTGAAAGAGTTCTACCTTGGCCTGTAAAGCTCTAGAATGTTCCAGAAGGATCCGAGGTTCCATACATTTGTCCATGTGCATGTACGTATAGAACACATAGAACTACAGAAGCTACAAGGACCTGACATGCGACGCCCAGTCATCCTGAATGTCTTCGATCTGATGTGAGTTGCTTGGAACCCATGTGAATTACGCACTCGCGTTTCGGATAATTCTCTACTTGGCCTTGGACCCGATGTTTCTGCATCCGGCTCCGGGAAGGGGGGGCCTACAGTTCCGCCACTAGTAGCGACGAACTTGCCCCGACTCTTCACATCCATAGTTCGTCGGCCACTGCCCCCCTGACACTATACTGAACTTAGAACCCTAGAAAAAACTAAAATTTTACCTGTTTCTTAGGGATTATAATAACCAAAAATTAAAAAATATTTCTAAGTACCCCTAAGGACACCGCAAACCTAAGCAGAGCGCCAGCCTTGGCATCGAGAAGAACTTGGGCTGTATCCTTGGTGGTCGACTGAAGCACGTGCAGGGTCACACACATGGGCTTATGGCGAAACGGCTTCATCTCCGACCAGGCACTTGTTTGTGGCACACCTCCTCCCTGAACCAGAGCGGTATGCTCCGCCAGACAGGGGCTATCCGGAAGAAATCCAACGGAACAGTATCACTGTTTAGTCAGGCTTCTATCTCCATCCTAAACACAAGTGGCCTTTGGGGTTTAGCTTCGTGATCGCAGCCTCCTTCTGAGTCTCTCTCTCTCTCTCTCTCTTTCTCCCTCTCTCTCCCTCTCTGTCCCTCTCCCTGTTGCCTTCCTTTCCTTTTCTTGCATCGGCTGTCCAAGTTCCCTTAAATCCGTGCTCTTGGGCCCTTTCGACATGGAGTTGGCAACATAGAATTCCAGGGACGTCAGAAACAGCTCGGCAACCGGACGGAGTTGCATCCTTCCGCAAAATGTAAGGGCCTTGACAATTAGACTATAGGGAGGCTTCGGTATTAAGCATGCAAGTCATTCTAGCTTGATCCTGCATGTGCCTTCCATGACGGTGGCGCTGCAGCTGTCACCCAAAACGGCTGCATATGTTCGGTTGGCTCTCTTTCAACTCGCGCCTCCTTTCCTTCGTCTTTTTCCTCTTCGATCTCCCCAGCAAGAGCAACTTTACCATCTAACTTTGAACATGGTTTGATCTTGTTCTCATCTTCTCATCCTCTTACGGGAGGGCCTGGACAAAGACAACTGCAAGCAGGTCTCCAGTGCATGCGTGTGCCCCTGGAACATGAACGCCAAGGTGGTCAAGGGCGTGCATCCTGACAGAGATGCTGCAAGGTGGGAACTAATGTAGGAGCCTTAAAAATTAGGGTTCTGGTTGATATTCTACCATTAATTATACTGAGGAACCCCAAAATAGTGTATATAGGTAGTTGTTAAGGCCCCTATAGCGGAGGTTCAGGCTCAGGATTTAAGGCTTGACCATTGATTGAATGCAATGCACCTTTGACTGCTGGCAGCAGATCACGCGTGAGCTGCCAGCGCTACCATTACTAGGCATGCTCACTCTTCCACATAAGGGGTCCTTCAAAAGGGGGCCTATAGGGGAGCTATATTTAGTAGGGTTCTATATTATTCTATATCCGGGCCTTAATAACTAGAATAGGATTCTAGCAGGTGTTTAGGGTTTAGGGCTTCGGTACTCGCACTCGGACTCTCCAGGCAAGGCATGTGTCCACAAGGTCTGTTCAGGTGAAAGATCACACTGGCCCACACACTCAGGAAAGCGACAAACGGCCATCACATCCTAAACAATCCTTGTGCCAGAACGCCAAAGACGGCAAAAATATTGAACCGTAATCCTTGACACCTGAAACCCCATACATCAGGTACACACAGTACACGCTGTCTGCAACGGGTGAGAAAGAGATTAACCGACAACGTTCTGCAATGAGGACCCTGTGAAACCCCAGAATGTGTGCTGATAGTTTAGTTATCATTAATTAACCTCCAAGACTAGTTAGGCCCTTCTCGAACACGACGGAACTCGAAAAGTGCACCGGGAAGACTCAACATCTCTAGACCTTATACCCTCGCTTAATGTACGGGCCTAAATTAATAGAAAAAGCCTTTGCGCTCCTTTGTAGTACAGTTATAATAACAAGGAAGCCTAACTTCTATAAACCCTGAACCCTATACCCGCGCTTGAGGCAAAGGCCTTTGCAATTCACCTCTGCTCGCAAGGCAATGAGAGTAGCGACAGCCTCGACAGAGGATGATATAGGGTCTAGGGTTTAGGGGATTGCCTCTACCCCTTGGTTTAAGGCTTAGCGTTTGGGGTTTATGGCTACTCAGGTTGCAGTGTAGCACTGTCATTTCTGAGGCTTCGGCTGCATGCCTATACGCATATTTACATCTGTGACATGTGACGATCTGTGGTAGTCGAGTTTGCGATGTGCGCGCAAAGCAAGTCGCGGGCGGCTTCAGGAAAGGATCCCTGACAGGGGGTGCTCCACTAAGAGTGTAGGGTTCTTGCTGCTCGTGCCTTCGCTGCCGAAGGCCTGACCGTTCTAAACGGGTTGCGCCGTAGCCTCAGTTGCCCTATCTAGACACTTGGTCCAACTTTCTGTATAGATCTACTGAGTGGCTGAAGTACTTTCCAAAACGAACCTTCCCTGTGAGGCTGCTGCAGAAACCGTTGTAAATAAAGCCCGTATTATAAGCCCCCGACAGGGAACCCTTAACGAACCCGTTGGAAGTTAGGATTAAGGGGACCCTTGGGGACATAGACCCTCTCAATAAGGCCCCCTTTAAAGAGCCAGAAGTAGGGTTCAGAAGGGGTGCCCTTTAAGGGGTCTCCCTAATAATACTACCTACCCGTAGAGCGACCTTTCTTCAGCTGATTTCGGCCTCGGGTTGTGCGCCACGACCAGCGAGCGTTGCCAGCGGTGAGCCTAGGACTTTCCTTAAGGCTCTAAGGACTCATATTTTCAGGCTTTCGGGCCTAAAGACCATATTATATGTTTTGAGCCCTAGGGTTTCTGAAGCTTCGGAATTTGTCCTACCGGGCCTTCCGGAGTTTAGGGGCCTCGGGTTTAGGGCTCTTAGGGTTTAGGGTTTAGGGTTCTGAATCTCTCCGGGGTCTGGTACCCTGGATTTCGGCTGAAGGGCTGCTGAAGGGCTTATAAGAGGGAGGTCGGGTTCGGGATAAGGGTTTAGAGTTTAGGGTTTATGCACTACAGTTTAGGCTTCGTAACTCTTTGAGTTGTAGCCGATTGTTGCTTTTGCAGCGCTTAGATCAGCATGCTAGTCACAAACCAGAGTGTATACGAAAAACTGGCTAGCTGCCAGAACGGCAAACCACGCATATTCATCCACAATGTATGACTGTTGTTTTGGTGGGTGAGTAGGAGTATGTCTTGCATGATCAGAATTGCAACAACCGTTCAAAGCTGCGATGTCTGACGACAGAATCCAACAAGCTTTGGATACGAAGTCTCTTGTGTTCGCATGCTTCTGTCATCTTGCGGCATTAGCGAATCATTGCTGGTTTGACATACTCGAAAACAAGAGCGAGCATGTAAACGGGTTTCCCAGAACTGCATGCACAGCAGCCACAAGGCTGACTTATCAATAACCTATCGTATGGCTACTTCGACCACCCTTGTAGCGAGATCCTGCACTTGATTCCAACACCTAAATTTTTGTTTAGTAAACAACTTAAACACTGAACCCTATAAGCCCAACGTTTTTTTATTTAGTTTTTTACGTCCCAGCTTTTTTTGCGTCCCGTTTTCGTCTCGCAAGGACGACGGTTTGGGGTTTAGAGTTGAAAGTCCTCAAAGCCCAAAACCCATATATGTTGACTCCTACACCCTTTTGCCCGCAACTGAGCTGAGGAGCACATCGACGGAGGCTTGCAAAGATTGACTTCCTGAGCACGGCGGCACCAACCCCAGCCCTAAACCCCTAAAGACCCTAAATCCAATGCAGAATCTAAAAACCTACACCCCCAAAACCCTAAACCCAAAATCCCCCAAGAACTTTGTAAGCTGCGCTCCCCAAACAGGTGCCTAAAGCTTTAACACCGAAAGCTCTACCTCTGAATTGGTACACATATATCTGTATATACACATAATCTGTGGCATATACAATGGATATAGCTTATCGTATATGTGTTTACGCTTATAAAACGCAAGCCCCCCGCCCCTTCACAACAAACACAACATGAACAGCAGCTGAAAACCTCAAGAACGTCCGAGGTGCAGCTCGGTGCTCAACCATCAGACTCACAGCCGAGGCCTATGAAAACAGGCGGCTGGCGGCAAGAAAACATACGCATTTTCTGTTACTTGATACACGGATTTGAATCTTGAATTTTTGTTTGACATTACTGGCCTTGATAAGGATTTCATATGGCTAGCGTATGTTTGACCTTTTCGAGAATACCTGTATTCTCCAGTGACATTTCTGCTTTGCGCTGACGACTCTTATAGGGTCAGGACTCAGGAAGGCATATAGGCAGCTCCAATGTAGTTGTCTTTTACCCTTCTTCTGTATGGCCGCTATGAATTAGGGCCTCTCGCAAAAAAAGCGATTTGTCATAATGTAGAGCAACATGACATATAGCAATTATGTCCCATTGACCTGTCTTCTTTTATGCTTTTGTCTTTGTATACCTTAAGGACGAAATGAACCCTAAAAGGGTCCAAGGTTCATATACCATATAGGGATTCATAGTATATGGGTAGCCCCCTACTTGTAAGGGTCATTTGGTCCTTCAGGTAGGATATAATTTAGAAGCTGCCCCCACCCTGTGATAGTGACTATAAGGATTATAGTAGGGCCTTAGGGCCCTATTATATTCCTATTATACCACTATTACAGGGTGGGGGCCCCTTCTAGGGTATAATGAGAGGGTTTGGGTCTCGAGGCTCTTCTGTGTGAGGCGCCGATGTGGCTTCCTCGTTTTGGAGCGCGGAATCTGGGCGTTTAGGGGTTTAAGGGTTTAGGTTTCAATATTCGGATTCATGTTGGCTTGCCCTAAAAATCCGTTTACTCCCAAGGCCTGTCCCGACGCTTCATCCATGATCTGTTATCCTGATACCCAGAGGCTCCATAGTAGTTCCTTTCGTGGTTCTTATTTAGAATCCTAAAAGGTAATCCCAAAAAGGAACTACGATGGAGCCTATAGGAACCCGAAACTCGAAACCGTCAACCCCCAAATCCCAAACCCGAAACCCCTGAGTCAAAAACCCCGAACCCAGGGTTTAGGGTTTAGGGTTTACGATTAGCTGGGCTAAGAAATCACTAGGCCATTAACCTTTAAATATACATGTGAAAGAGAGGTTTAGGGTTTAGGGTTTAGGGTTAAGGGGCTTAGATTTAATAGTTTCCACGAAACCCTTGGGGCTGCAGACTTTCTCACATAACATAGGGGACTTAATGATTAGAATAGGGTTTTTGGGGCCATTCTACTATACTGATAATAACGAACCCCCAACATAGTACAGGTAATTATTAGCCCCCAAAATTTAGAAAGCTCGGACAGATTGGGCTCTCTGGCCGGTGGGAGTGAGCATGAGCTCAGTATCACACCACTAAACCCTGTCATGGTCTTCCCAAGAGTCTCCATTGTAGTTCCTTTTGGGGGTTACCTTTTCGGATCCTAACTAATATTTGGTTAAGCCCCAAAAGGAACTAATTACAATGGATACTGCAGGTCATCCCGCAGCCCCATTAGAGGCTTCATTAATGTGATCCTGGTATAATGTACCCGCAGACCCAGCCTCTGAACCCCGAGAGTGTAACTCAAGAATGAACATTTCGCAAACATATCATCTTCTACAACCCCAAAGACGAGTGAATCAGAGCGCTTTGGAAGTGCACCAAACCAGATCCCATGCCTTAGGCCTACAGCCTGCTCTTGCCGATTAAGCTTACAGTCCCCTGGTACTGTTCAATATTTGCCGGGGGGGGGGGGGGCGTGCAAGTTCGATCTCCCTTAATATGAAACCCTAGACCCCCAAGAGCCCTAAAACAGCTCGGGGCCCTAAACCCTAAGCCTCAAGCCCTAAACCCTAAATCCCTAAACCACTAAACCCCTAGACTCTAAACCCCTAAAGCACTAAGAAAGGCCCTAGGGTTATAATTAGGGTAGCTATACTTATAACCCCAATTAGGGTACTTATAACCTTACTTACTGAGTCCCATGATCCTCCAAATAGGCAGCCCAGGGCCCCTGCCGTGTAGCAGGTCCCGACGGCCACGGTCCCCATCTTGCAGGTCGCGTTGGGATCCGCTCGGAGCCCTGCGACGGACGGTTGATGATAAAAATCCTACATTACCCCTTATATAGGGGATCCTACCATTAATCCTATATGGTAATCCCAAAGAGGAACTACTACAGTAGAAGCCAGAAAGTTGGAATATGATTATCCTAACCCCTTTATGGTAAATTATAGGGGATCCTGCCATTATTCCATATTCCAACTTTCTGGAGTTCCCTTTAAGAACCCTAGACTATGGGAAGTATGGTATATTTCTTGGTAAATTCCTGATTATGGGCAATGCAGAATTTATATCATCAACCGGATCAGCTTTACTTGGGTGTAATGTTCTGCTTTCTTTACGAAGGAAATGTCATGTGGCAATTCTGTAAGGGCTGTCCGTGTTACCAGGGTGTTTGTCCACTTCCATCGTGTGTTATGAGGGGGGTGGGATTGTTGACAATTCTGAGGGCTTCATTCCTGGCGGTCCTATAGAGCTTAGGCTAATTTATGCGATCCACCGCAACGAATACAAATCAGCTACGCTGGTGCCAGCTGCTACTTGCTTCACTGCCACAGTCTGCTACCGTGCACTTGCTGCTGGAAGGAACAAGACGACGACAAGTAAGACCACCCAGAGACTCCAATATCCCTTGATTTAGGAATATACCTTAAAATTCTAATAGGATCCTTTAAATGGCTTAAGGAATATTCAATATTCCTTAATTAAGGGATATTGGAGTCTCCGGGCAGGATGGCGACGACGGAGGAGGAGGAGGACTCCCTCGTGCTCAGTCGGGAATGGGGGAATGGACTAGGGGAACTGGTGTTGGGGATTATATAGGGACTACCATAGTCGGGATCCATTAAAGAGACCCTAAATCCTCAAAGGGATCCATTCCCCCATTCCCCAAGCCCTAAACCCTGTAGATCCCCTTAAGGGATCCCGTAAAGAGTCCCTAAATCCTCAAAGGGATCCATTCCCCCATTCTTTCCCAAACACCAGACAGCACCTGTTGCCAATTGCCAATGCTACTGCGGCCTTCTCTGGAAGTAGTGGTGGTGACGGGTGATACCGTCACCATCACCCCAAAACCCGAAGCCTAAGCCCAATCATCATCATCATCAGCATCATCATCTTCATCATCTTCTTCATCGACATCATGGTTCCTGATCGTCACCATCATCGTCATTATCGTCATCATCAACATCATCATCAGCGGCAGCATCACCACCGCCATCATCATCATCATCATCACCAGCAGCAGCAACAGCTGCACCGTCTCATCATGGTGCTCCGGCGTCTGGCTTCGGGGATTCGGCAATGCGCAGCAAAAGAACCCCTACAATGGAGAAGCTCAATGATTAGAAAGGGGGGGGGCATGTTACAATGTGACTGTAGTGAGAAACCTTGAGGATTGACATAGGTAACCATTCCGGCTCTGATGCTAGATTCCTCCGGGTATACTCTACGATAACATACTTTCATATGGGTGGTTGTCAAAATGGTGGTTCCTTTTTGGGTTCCTATTATAATACGGCACCTAATATTTAGGGTACCCCAAATAAGGACCCTAATTTCGACAACCACCCATATTCTGGTCGAAAATAAGGGACCCTAATGTAGTACCTTAAATAGTAGGATCCTTATAAAAAGGACCCCAAAATAAGGTACCTCGGAAACTTCCACATATTCTGGCCAAGACTCGCAGGAGCTGGAGAAGAGTATCTTCAGAGCGAAACGCGCGCATGGCAGCCAGGAATAGCGGCCTCAGCGACCACTTCTGTTTTCTGTCATCAGGCTTTGTAAGTTTTAAGGGTTCCGATTTAGGTTCAGGGTTTAGTGTCGGTTTTGGCCATGTAGGTGTGATGGGTTTCGACTTGCACACTCGCAAACGCAGGCACGGCTTCTGGGTCCATTGTGATGGGTTTAGGGATTCAAGGGTTTAGTCAAGAGTTAGGTGTTAAAGGGTGTGGGTCGCTGGGGGCTTTGGAGCCCGGGATTTAGGGGGTGCCTGCCTAGGTTTTAAGATGTAATAGCTTCTGTAAACTCTACAACCCTGCATCCCTGTAGACCCTGAACCCTTTTTGCTGCAGGCTTTAACCCTAAACCCGCCTAGACCTTAAAGCCTAAACGCCTAAACCCTAAACACCCAGAGGCCCGAAGCCCCTAACCCTATAAATGCCTTTAAAGGAACCCTATAGATCCCTTTTAATTGAGGAACCCCCTCTATAAACCCCTTTTAAGGAAGCCCTATAAACCCCCCAATTGGAGGCCCCAAGCTGCGTGAAACCGGCCCAGAGGTCGACTTCTGGCATGTCCGAGAACCTGCGGGGGTTTAGGGATTTCCCAGAGACTCCAATATCCCTTAATTAAGGAATACTCCTGAAATCAGATTAAGGATCCTATCATACTCTAATATTCCTTAATTAAGGGATATTGGAGTCTCTGGGTTGTGGGTCAGAGATCCTGGTGTAAGGTTTAGGGGTTGAGGGATTTTAGGGATTAGGTAAACCCTTCAAGGGAACCCTATGAAAGAGCTTTATAGCGCCCTTAATTCAAAGGACCCCCCAACCCTAAACCGCCTTGTATAGTACCCTTAATTCAAAGGAACCGCCATCCCTAAACCCTTAAAGGGAACCCGATTAAAGAGCCTTGAGGCTTCGGGCTTACTACTGAAATTAGAACCCTAGCACAAAGTATAATTTTAGCTGTCTCTTCGGGATTATAATAACAAAAAAATAAGACCTATTTCTAAGTACCCCTAAAAGGGCTTCGGGTTTTGAGCCAGCCTGGTCTCCATGGGGGCCCCAGCTTGCACCATGCTCGAAATCATCTCCTCAGTGGAGTAGGGGTTGGGTTTAGGGTTTAGGGTTTAGGGCTTTTTCTTCTAAAAGCTGGGTTAAGGGCTTCGGGCTTCCATGAAAGATTCTCTAGATGATTGTGCATTAGGGCTCCTGCCGAGTCTTTTCGGTTATTGCTGCTATGATGCGGCCCAAAAGAAATAACCAGGTCAGGCATCTCGGCAGTTCACTGAATGAGGATACATCTGGGATCTTGACTATATGACATACGCAATCTTTCGTTGAGCCTTTCAGAGTGCGGGTCGTAAGGCCTTCGAGGGCTTACAAGGCTTGAGGGTGCGGCCCTCAACCCCGAAACCCTAAACCGGGCTAGAAGTACTGAGACCTTGCTTCGAGTCTTTCTATGCATCCATACTAGGTGTCGAGGTCTCGAACATGCCATGATTGAGCCAGGTCAGGAATATTTCGGGTACGGCCCCCACTCAGTACTAGTTGAATAATATTCATAATGTAGATATATTAGGACCTGAATAGTAACCCTATTATAGACTCTTACTGTAAGGGGGCAGTACCTAATCAAGAGCCCTTGCCAATGACCCGAATAGCTGAGACCCAAGAAGCCACCAGTGCGCCTTGAAAGCCACCACGGTTCAGGGTTTAGGGTTTAAGGGTTTAGGGTTTAGGGGGGCATGGACCAGACGAGACTATGATAAGGGTACTCCGGGCATCCCTGAACATGCAAACCCCAAACCGAACTGTCTCGCCAGCCTCCTCTAAACCCTAACCTCCCACAGAGATTTTTACATAGACCAGCTCGGCAAGCTTAAAGCTCGAGGATAGGTTTGGGGTTTGGATTTTAGGGTTTGGGGCCTAAGGGGTTTAGGGGTTCAGGGTTTGAAGTTGGCTTCGGCAGTCGGTGAACTGGAAAATTCGATTTGGTTTTGCAGATGTAACTGGTGCTTAGTCAGAATTGGGTACTTGAAGCCTATAAGAATCCTCACATGAGACGTATAAGTATAATTAATAAAGTCTGACTTTATGTCAATATAAGATAATGACCCCTGCAGTCCACCACACTAGTTGCAGTGCGGTTTGTCACCAGGCACAGAAAGTGGTTGGCTTCGTCAGGCGTCTGCTCCAATCTATGCGTCAACCCGCTGGGCCACTCCGATGCCCACATCAGAACCGAGAGTGGTTGGAACCAGGCCCCCGTCCCAATCCCTCCAGTGTATGGGAGACCCCTCGATATCGTTTGTGGCCCCGAATACGGGGCTCAAACAACCAAAGAAGAAACCATAGCTGCACCAGACTTCAGCCTTGTAACCACACGCGGATGCAAGCAATCTTTCGCATCATTACCGTAACTTATCTGTTGCAAACCCACACCTTTCGATAACCCTTTTAAACCTGGACTATGCATATGCCAGGAACCGAGGCGCCGACTGTGCTGTGGGCTCGTGCCACACGGCTACCCCAGATTGCAAAATCTGATCAACTGGTCATCCCAAGTTTCAGGATGCAACGACCACGTGGCTACAACTCTAATTTCAATAATCCTAAACCCTAAATCATACACCCTAAAGCCTGCCGTGCGCAAGCCAAGCAGCAGTATCACCAGATCCAACTGCGCAGGCAACCGCGCCCATGCCTGTCCATGGACCGAAATAGGGCTCCTTTAAGGGTACCATAAGGCTTCCTATCAGGGATCCATATGGGGTTCTATATGGGTCCAGGGACAAAGAAGCCCAAGCTAGCAATGCCATCAACTTTGACGCGAGACACTATTCTATGAATCAAACCCCCGCAAACTTTTTGGTGGCATCACACTGATTAAACTTTAAACCCTATTCTAGGAATTCAAGCTCCTTTACTACTATTCTTCAAGCTTTTCTGCAAGACTATAAGCCCGGCCTGCATTTCTGCTGCTTGATACTCCCTACTAAGTCCTAAAGCCCAACATAGACCCTTTACTAAAGAGCCTACCCTTCTTGTAGGGTTCCTGATTATGATTCTCTGATGTAAGTCCTGAAAAAGGTTGGTTATTCAGGGTCTAAGTAGATCTGGAAAACCTAAACGACTGCAATATACTAAGCCCTGATCCCCTTCAGCCAAGCTCCGGACCCTAAGCCGTAAAACCCCAGTCCTTATACGGGTTTTTCGTCTGCTCGTTCGCTTCATTCAGGAAAGGCCACGAAGATTTCAGGGTTTACACGGTTACAAAAGACCCTCACGAAGAAAAAACACGCAGAACTTCAGTAGAACTGGTATGTTTGCTCGACCAGCTCTTGCTACCCCAGTCTTGCCCATGCCAGCATAGCAGCCGGAACCTTTGTTAGTGCGCCCCTGCACACTCCAAGTCTACAAATTAATGCAGGGTCAACAGTCTACAGCCTTGAAAGCGGACCTGCTTTGGGGGGGGGGGGGGGGGGGGGGTGTATTCTAAAGTCTAAAGTATACAAATAACATTCACTTGGAGTCGAAAGTCCATAAATCGAAACAGTACCTGTACCTACTTACTCTGGGCAAATGTGGAGTTGTAGAGAAGCTCAAGGACTCTAACATGTACACACACAATATCGCTTAACTAGGATCTAAAGCCCGTAAACATAATCATAAACAGTACCAGCTTTGGGCTATTTGGAGTTGTAGAGAAGCTCAAAACCCTGAACCCTAAACCCCTTTATAAACCCTAACCCTAAACCCTAAAGCCCTAAACCTCAAGGACTTCAAGGTTCACCTCTTTTGGTGAAGGTCCAGAAGCCCAGAGACTCCAATATCCCTCAATTAAGGAATACTCCTTAAATCATATTCAGGATCCTATTTTAATTTACGGTATATTCCTTAGTTTAGGGATATTCCTTAAATCATATTAAGGATCCTATTATAATTTAAGGTATATTCCTCAACTAAGGGGTCTTGGAGTCTCTGGGAGCTCCAGAAGTTTCAGACTTCCCAGGCTTCGGTTTGGGTTAGGGAGTTCAGGGAGTTTAGGGTTTAGGGGTTTAGGGTTTAGGGTTTAGGGAGTTTAGGGTTTAGGGTTTAGGGTTTAGGGGTTTAGGGTTTAGGGTTTAGGGGGTTTAGGGTTTAGGGTTTAGGGTTTAGGGGTTTAGGGTTTAGGGTTTAGGGTTTAGGGAGTTTAGGGTTTAGGGTTTAGGGTTTGGGGGTTTAGGGAGTTTAGGGTTTAGGGTTTAGGGTTTAGGGTTTAGGGTTTAGGGAGTTTAGGGTTTAGGGTTTAGGGTTTGGGGGTTTAGGGAGTCTTGGGGTTTAGGAGTTTAAGGGTTTAGGGGTTTATTGGTTTAGGGGCTTGGGGGTTTACGCTCTGGCAAATCGGACAAGCCAGACAAGGGTTACGATACTGAACTTAGAGCCCTAGCAACACTTCTAATCTTAGCTGTTTCTTAGGGATTATAATAACCAAAAATTAAAAATGATTTCTAAATACACCTAAGGTTTAATTTAGGGGTTTAGGGTTAAGGCTCCCCCGCAGCCCAGCTCCGAAACCAAATACACCAGTTGACAATTCCAAACCCTAGAACCTGAAAGACTATGACCATAAGCCGTAAACCCGAAAAACCCTCATATATTACATCCCGCCCCCTAAAACCCTAAAGTATTAAATCCTAACCCCTTAAACCCTGAATCCTACCCCCAAAACCCTTGGCCTGACTTCTGCTTGATGGCAGCCATCAGGTTCGGGAACTGAAATCGAGTCAGGAACTCTCCTAAGCTCCTCGTGGCACAGGGGCTCAGGCTAAGAGGGCTCCTTCAAGGGTTCTACAACCCTTACTTGGAGGTTCATGGGTAGTTATAAGAACCCTAAACCCTAAACCCTAGGGTAACTATACTTATCTGCCATATTAGGAGACTTATAATACCCCACTTATCAGGCTTTCTGGGCTCCTTCACGGGTTCTGTGACCCTTAGGCTCAAAATAGCCCAAAAGCCTTCTTAAATATAGTTGTTGGCCCCGAAAGCCTTAAAACATGAGTCCTCAGAGCCCTAGGGTAAGGGCTTACCCAGAGACTCCAAGATCCCTTAATTCAGGAATATACCTTAAATCATAGTAGGATCCTGAATAAGATTTAAGGTATATTCCTTAAATAAGGGATATTCCTTAAATCATATTAAGGATCCTATCCTAATTTAGGGTATATTCCTTAACTAAGGGATATTGGAGTCTCTGGGTAGGGTGATTCCTTTCAGGGTCCCTGGAGGGGCTCCAGGGGTTCGAGTTTGAGGATTCGTTTCAGAACACGCAAGGCCTAACATCAAACTGCCTAACGCTGCATGCACCGAGCCCTCCCAAACCTCAAGGATCACCCTTTACATCTGGACTTGATGAATGCCAGCACCCCACTGAGCACAGAACCCTAAACCCTAAACTCTAAACCCTAAAACCCTAAAACCCTAAACCCTAGATCCCATGACCCTCAAAAGCCGGGGGCCCTATAGCCGTCGATTTTTGAGTCTTTTCATGGCAAGGGAGCCTGTAAGGGTACATTTCGTCCGTGAGGAGCCCAACGCGGTGAACCCCCAGAGACTCCAATATCCCTTAGTTAAGGAATATACCCTAAATTAGGATAGGATCCTTAATATGATTTAAGGAATATCCCTTAATTAAGGAATATACCTTAAATCGTATTAAGGATCCTATTATAATTTGATTTAAGGTATATTCCTTAATTAAGGGATCTTGGAGTCTCTGGGCCTGGAGCCCCACCATCACATCCCAAACGCCAAAACCCAGAGGGGAGCAAGGGCGGAAATCTCCGCTCCCAGATCTGCGAATTCTTACGCTCTTACGATTCTGGGTCGGCCTCAAGCCTAGACTCCTAATTAGACCTGACAGGTGTGTCAGATCTGCCCTTATAAGTTTCCTCCCCAGATCTGCGAACATCGAGCGCTCATTGCCCCGAGCCCGAGACTGGCAGCCTTGCAGCTAAGCACCTCGAGCCTCGTAAAGTCGTAAACTCCAGATGCAGCCTTAGAACCTACGATTAGGGTTTAGGGTTTAGGGTTTAGTGCGTCCTTATAGAGTGTCTGAAAAAGTAAGCCTTTTTTACGGGGGGGGGGGGGGGTTAACGAACACACTCGAACCCAACAAACAGGTTCGGCTCTATACCGGCGGTCCGTCTGCACGTTTGTAGGCCGCAGAAGTCCTCGTAGCGAGATGTGTAGTACCTGCTTGCCACTGGGGATTGACGTTCACAGGCCTTCCCTATAAGCGTCCATTCATCATATGCTTTGGAAATTACCAGCGAACAAGACCAGTGCTATCCTAAACCCGAGTGCGTACCACATTACCAAGTCCCTGGAGCGGCTAGGTTGGCCTTATTTGACTATACTAGGTATACTTCCCGGCAGGGTGAGGGCGCACAGCGAACTCGTGGATGGCTCCAAAAGCCATAAGCTGCGCTTTCACGCGCTATGAGGTGGCGAGGAGGGGGCAACCCGTAGTCTGCCCTTGCAGTGTCACCCTAAGACTCTCAGGACTTATAGTTTCAGGATTTGGGGCCCAAAAACCATAATTTAACAAGGCTTTTGGGCTTTTTTGCGCCTAAGGTAGTCTTGAGAGAAAGCCCTTTCGTTCATCAGCGTAGAAACGGGCTCCATGCTCAATCAAAGACAGGCCATCTGTTCATTCAGAGAGGAACCACGAAGTGGAGCCCAACTCAGATCAACCTAAGTTGGAGATTTAAAGAACCCATTTATACCTATAGGCTCCATAGTAGTTCCTTTTCGGGACTACCTCATAGGACTCTAAACAAGAACCACAAAAAATAACTACTATGGAGCCTCTGGGTAATCCTAAAACCTACATCAACCCCGACCTCGATCCGCAGATGTCATCAGGTGCTGGTGTCAAACGCCAAAGACAGATGAGGAGGTCTGGCACGGCAGTCATAACTTTAAGCACCCAGACCTTCCAAAACCCCTTAATTAAGGAATATACCTTAAATTATAGTAGGGTCCCTAATACGATTTAAGGTATATTCCTTAATTAAGGGGTTTTGGAAGGTCTGGGCACTTAAACCTAAACACCGTAGACTGCACTTAAGGCTCCACTCAGGCTTCTCTCGGCAGGAGGGTTGGGCTCTTGCATGCCCTTTTAGAATTTCTACGAAAGAAAGGGCAGCCATTTCGGTTTGGGGATTCAAGGAGCCGCTGTTTTCAGCACTTGCAGTGCTGCCCCCGAAGGAAACGGGTGCGCCTGTAGAGATCCAGCTTCTTCGGATCGTTGCGCAGGCCGCGCAGCCTCGACTGCGGGAGGAATGCCACATACTGCCATCCGAATGCTAGGGTTTGTAAGGCTTAGGGGCTTGGGGTCTTAAATGATTTTGGGGTTTGGGGTTCTGGGTCTATAGGGGCTTGGGAGATCAAAGTTTCTGGGTGCTTCCAGAGAGCCGAGAGCAAGAGTTGGGGATCCAGCAGGAATGGAATCCTAGCCAAACGGGGATGGTCCATTGCCGGTAAACAAAGCACCGCAGCCCCAGACCAAACACACCAATGCAGCAACGGCTGAACTCTACATCCGGCGGCACAAAATAAAAGAAGACCGCCACAGGCGCAACAGACAGGGAGGGGAGGGAGAGTGGGAGAGAGCAACTAGCTAAAACCTATAGGGCTCTGAGATCGTGTAGTTATGTTTAGGGTGGCAGCCTCCTTAACACCTAAGCACCTAAAGAAAGGCTTTCAGTTCGGGGTGTATATACGGTCTATCAGGTCAGCTCTTACAGCTTCTTGACCACCCGAAAGCCAGGACCAGTAACTTGACATCCAGGGCGGCACGCACAATCTCGTTGCATGATGCGCGATCTTCCTGCACCAGTCCAGCTTAAAGCCTAGACCTTACTTCCGGGTGTTAGGTTTAGGGGCCTGGGGATTTGTAGGGTTTTGGAGTAAAGCTTGGGGATGTTTAGAATTTTTTGGGTTTTTTGGCAGCACAATCACTCTGAGCTCAAAGCCTGTGCCCCTCCACATCCCTACTCTGTCGGCTGACTGCTCACGTCACAGGGATTTAGGGTTTACGGAAACCTATCATTTCAAGAGATACAGACCGAAGGCATCCATATGAACCCCCTGCGTCGTGAAGCCCTTTAAGGTAGGATATCCCTCGGGTCCCGAACCCGTAAGGCTCAAAGTCGCCCAAAAGACTTGTATAAGTGTGGGTTTCCGAAAATTGGGGGGTACCTTATTTTGGGGGTCCTTATTATAAGGATCCTACTATTTATAGGGTATAAAAATTAGGGTCCCCTATTTTTGGAAACTCCCAAGTATGTTCTTTTTGCCCGAAAGCCTTAAAATATGAGTCCTCGGAGCCTCAGGGTAAGCTATACCCTAAACCCTAAACCCAAAACCCCTAAACCCCTAAACCCTAAACCCTAAACCCCTAAACCCCTAAACCCTAAACCCTAAACCCTAAAAAAGGTTTACTCTCTCGCAACTCGGACTCGCCAGTCGAGGGTCCCCAAAGTACCAATATAGTAGAGGGTTTCTATATTAGGAATTAGTATTACCTTAACCCCACGTAACCTACCTTTTTAAGGACTTATATAAAGAAATCATATTAGGGAACCCTAAGTACCAATAAAGTAGAGTGTAGGGTTTCTATATGGGGGGTTTCCGAATTATAGGGGACCCTAGTTTAGTACCCTAAGTAGTAGGATCCTTATTATAAGGACCCCTACATAAGGTACCCCGATGTTTGGGAAACTCCCATATTAGGAATTACTATTATGATTTGGGGAAGTATTCCCCATAACAGTGCCTAGGACCCTTTGGGTTAGGGTTTTGGGACTGATGCTCCGAAGTGCAAAGCCGCCCCAAACGATGCAAAATCCGAAAGGTCCGAAGCGGGAGGGGGAAGTCCCGTGGCAACTCCCTTCAGGTTTAGGGTTTAGGGTTTGGGGTTTAAGGTTTTGGGGTTTAGGGTTTAGGGGCTATATGGTTTAGGGAAGATAGGGGCCTTAATAGCTACAACAGGGTTCTATGTACGGGATCGGCGATAAAAGGGGTTGACCGTTTAGAGCAGTATAAGGGGCGTTATTAACAATTCGATCTGGGTTTAAGGGCATGATATACCAAAATAGATAAACATGAAATGAGGAAAACCTGAGGCATAGTATCATTAAGTATTCAGGCTTCCCTCCTCCACGGTGAAATCGCCCTGGTGAACGGGATTGTGCCTTGCCGACATGGAGGGCTTCAGCGAAAGACTGTCCATGATGTGTTTGTTTATTGCCTTAGGATTAGGATGTGATATTTGCTTGCTTTCCAAATGCTTCCAAGGACCTTTAATTAGGGCCCTAGGCCCCTTGTTGCAGCTGGTGAGACGCCGTACGCGCTTTGGACTCTCAACCCAAGCACCGGAAAACATGAAGCTTGAGTCCAGAAGCTCCAACATGCTTTCTACCCATAGGCTCAATAGTAGGTCCTTTTTGGGACTACCCTATTGGATTCTATATATGAACCCCAAAAAGGAACTACTATGGAGCCTCTGGGTATACTGAACTTAGAACCCTAGCAAAAATTAATATTTTAGCTGTTTCCTAGGGATTATAATAACCAAAAATTGAAAAATATTTCTACGTACCCCTAAGCTTTGTCAGCTGAGGAGCCCACAGAGCCGCACGAAACTTGCTGCACACCCCCTGCCTATTTGGGAGTTAAGATTTGGGGGGACCCTAATATAGTACCCGAGATAATAGGATCCTTATGAAAAGGACCCCAAAATAAGGTACCCCTAATTTTCGGAAATTCCCATTTGGGAGTTAGGATTAGGGGAACGCTTGGGGATATAGACCCTCTTAATAAGGCCCCCTTTTAAGAGAGCCAGAAGTAGGGTTCAGAAGAGGTGCCCTTTAAGGGGTCTTCCTAATATATAATACCCTCTGCCTATAAACTAAAATTTAAGTCGAACTTCCGAGGCCAAGGTCGAAAATGGGGCCTTGAGAATTCGAATCGGGTGCTGGGGTTCATTATAGGTATACAAAGAAGCCCATTTTAGGTATGCAAAGAAGCCCATTATAGGTATACAAAGAAACCCGAAGAAAGAGTTTTTGTAAAACATTCAGGCGCCTAGATGTTGCCCTTGAAATTTGCACTCGTCGAATTGGGTCGCAGCCAAGGCGCACCCAACGCACCGGGCTGATAAACTCCGCCTCCAAAGACACACTTTTCTGCGCTTCATCCGTTTGGTTCTATCAATTTTAGGGTGTGGATGTGAGTAGGGATCGGGTGTAAGGATTTAAGGCTCAGGGATTTAAGGTTCGGTGTCTAATTAGGCTGGGTTTCTGAGTAGCCCCTGTATGATAAGGGTACCCTTTTTTCCAACTCTTCGGATTGATCAAGGGGGCACTACAATGAAAAGGCCAAGAGGATACTACTCAGGAACCTAGTAGGGCTCTTCTTGTGGTTAAGCCGAGTGAGCTTCGTTGCCTCAGTCCGAACCCTGTTGTGTCTATTGAACGGGATAGAGAGACTCTATGAAACCCGTTGGTTGAGGCCAGAAAACCCTATACCCCACAAGCCCTAAGACTTAATGGCATGACTGTGTATTCTCTGAAAGGTTGATGAGCTCTGCTCCTCAACGGCTGGGGTTTCGACGCTCACACTCGCACAAGGCAGGCAAGGCTCCACATAGTCCACAGGATCTCAAGTAACACTAACCGGTGTGGGGCAAGAGGGGCAGCCTGAGAAAACTACACAAACACCAAAAAAAGAGGAGTATCAACGGCTGGGGTGTGGTTTAGGCTTTACTGTGATTTGGTTGTGTCATTCTACTTTGCTCCGGCTGACAAGACCTGGAACATACATCTCAGGGCTCGCAGCCTAAACCCTACTGGAGTAACCAATGCACCTCCGAACAAAAAGGCATATGACCCTAGAACATTGGTACACTTACGTTGTTAAAAGGTACATACAGGTTAGCCTAAACCCCAATGTCACGATCTAGAGATTGCTGGTGGGTTAATTCCCTATACTTTTACCTAACGTAAGGAGCCCTTGTGGACAATCACTCAGACTTCTTATGGCTTTTTCAGAAAGCCTCTTGCCCAAGTCAGAATCGAATGTTGGCTCATGCTGTCACAAGGAAAACAGCAGTAGAAGTCCATGGATAATCGCCTGATGTGCGGCGGGAAAGGATGTAGAATAGCAGTACAGTTGACATACAGGTTGATTAGCAATACACGTGGCCACAGTCACGTCAAAAAGCCTCGCCATTGCGAAGTTTTATAGTAAGGGGTATGTTGAAGAGCCGGGACGGTGATCCGGCAAAGGGCACCAGCGCAGACTCACCACAACAGTAATCAGAAACTAGTAACTAGACACTTTCTGGTGAAAGAAACAAGATTCCTCAACGCTCAACCTAGCACCCAAAATCCCGAATCCCGCAAACCCCCGAACTGCTCCCTGACCCAAATTAAATCCATAAGCCGACGGACCCTGGCCTTCTCGCTGCCGGAGATTACTACGATTGGAATGCTGCTTTTGTCGGAAAGCAATTTGCACCACATCTCCTTGGCACTGACGGAGTTTATCAAATACATGGCGATGGAACGAAGCGTGGATACTTCTCTGCAATCACTGTCCGTCGGGCATGCTTTCAAGCCGTAGGAGACCCTAAACTTTCAGAAACCCCTAAACCCTAAACCGCTAAACGGTTTATGGTTTAGGGTTGCCCCTAAACCCTTTTAAACCCTGAATCGAGTTCCCTTACAGCCGCAGGCTGCCGTGAGTCGGCCGGCCATACTACCGAGGCAGAACTATAGAGGCCCAGGCGACTTAGTCAGTGCTCTGAAAGGGCTCTTTGAAGGGATCTGTAGGGCTCCTTAAAAGGGATCTATGGGGTTTAGGGGTGAGGGTGTGGGGACTTAGTAAGTAGGTTATAAGTAGGGTATAAGTACCCTAAATGGAGTTACCCCAATTATGGCCTACTTATAACCTACTTGCTAAGTATTTTGGGCCTCCAAGAAGGACTTTCAGTGGGGGACGCGTGGAATATATGGTTAGCGGTTTTGGGTTGTAGCTATAGGGCTTGGCTTTTAGGTTTTTTGCTGACCATATACTGTTTTCAAGGAGGATCGAAACTAGTCTTGCGACTATGACGATCATGATGCTGACATTCTCGCCCAATGGGGTGTGCTTAAGCTGTAGTATCAACCAATGTCCTGGAACATGTGCCATCCGAGCGGGGCCCAGGTCTCCAATGTCTTTCAAAGAGAGGCAATGCTGTACAACCCCCTGAACCCTAAACCCCTAAACCCTAAATCGAAGATCTGTAATTACATGTTCAAGGTTGTCTCTTGTTCTTCAAAATCACACATGTGTGATCCAGAACACTGAGATTGGCAGTTTGCCAGGGTTTAGAGCTCATGCTCGGGAAATCACGTGCATTTACGGCTGCTTGGTTTTGAAGGAAACGTAGCTTGAGCAACACTGACACACAACCCCTTTGCTGTATGAAAGTCAAAGGCCACTGCCAAATGACAGGGCTTCTTCGGGAACAGGGCAAGTCTTGACTAATTCCCTAAACCCTAAGCCCTTAAAAAACCCTAAACTTTAAACCCCAAACCTTAAACCTTAAACTCTAAACCCTAAACCCCAAACCTTGAACCCCGCGAAAGCCTGGAGCTGAAGGTCACGAAGGGTATGCAGCAACCGTCTGAGGCTTTGAGTTCGATGCTCTCAAAGCCAATAGCCAAGGTATGGGACAGTCTGCTGCACGATATTATAAACCCCAAAGCCTAACCCCCAAACGTTAAACCCTAAGCCTAATCCCCTAAACCCTTGAATCCCTAAACCCTAGACCCTACGCACCTAAATCCTCGAATTTCACGAAGGCGCTGTCCGACACCAACCTCTCTTCAGCCAAGCCCGGTAGCTGCACTCGAATCCGAGATTGTTGTGTAAAGCCTCCGAGGACGAGGGGGGCGTGGGGTTCAGGGAGGTCTTTTGCCCCTTGCGGTTTAGGGTCTGGGCGGTTTGGAGTTTGGGGTTGAGGGTTTACAGCTTGGGGTGTAGGCTTCGAACGAAATATTCGTCCCCTGATCTGAATAGTTGCTGACATGCTGTGCCTTCAGGTCTAAGTTCCCTATACTGGGTTCTTGTTACAGAATCTGGTTTAAGTTACCATCAAAGGGATCTTTAGTAAATAATATGGCTTCGTCTTTACGGCAACTTATGACAATAACCCGGTAAATTCTTGAACCCTAAATCTCAACTCCGATGTGGACCTTTCATCTGTGGCCTCATCGGAGGTATGGAAAAGACAACATAAACCTTGCCAGAGCCTCAACACTAAAACCCCTAAACACTAAACCCGAAACTAAGGTATCTAAGGACCTCGGGAATCTCCCTGGTAGGGATCCGTATACGGCACACGTAGGAACTTTCTGTTTAGACGTTTTTGGGGCCTATAAAACCTACAAGCCTGAACTTGTTAACCCTAAACCGGACTAAGCCTTTGCAGGCCTTGGGCACCAGCGCGACAAAAATCTCACAGGTGTCCACGTAGAACCTTCGTCGACGAAAGTGACGTACTGTTTAGGGTTTAGGGTAAGGGTCGGGTTTCTGCCGGGCAGACGCAACGGATCGTCAATAATGATGCACAGAAGGCTTTGGCGCTGGGTCCACAATGCCATCTTATTGAGACAGCTGGTGGGCACCGCATAGTTGGTTGGGAATCTTATCCGGAGGACCCCTCCAAGAAAAGCATTAAGCTGTGGTCAGAACTGACAAAACCCAGCGAACCCGCGACAGAAGAGATAACCTGTAGCAAGCTCCTGACAAGAGGGTTCAAGCGCTGCAGATTGTGGATTCTTTGCTCTTGCCGTGTGATGGGGGGGGTTGAGCGCAGATTTGTTGAAGGACATGGGCAGGGGTTTGCTCTTTTGGGCTTGGGGGTCTGGGACCAGGTTGATAAGGTTCTCACATATACTTTGCTGCTTCCGACCGAGGAGTCAAAAAAACAGCACCTCGGTATCTCAGCTTTGTAGTACATCCTGAGCCCAGAACCTTAAAGCCACGACCCTGGCCACAAAACCAGCTCCATGCTACAGCCATCACTGGCAAACTCTATGGTAATAGATGCTCCAGCAACCCAACTTCTGAGGTCCTTTGAACCACAGTTTCTGAACTGCCATGAGCTTTACAAATGCCAAGCGACGGGATGGACCTAATGCAGTTGTAGGCATTTTGTGCAGTAGAGATCAGCCCAGTATCGGAGTGCATGCCTGGGAGAGTGAAGTAACCAGGGAAACGAGTGCCCAGCGGGTCCATATATAATGCGATTATGGAATTAGGTCCCAAAACCATACTGGGGATGGTCTATCGGGACCTAATTCCACAAAGGTAATATATATATATATATATATATATATATATGGACCCTCTGGAGTATAAAGCATTTCAGAAGGGCTCCGGTAGGGAGCAAGTCCAAAGAAAGTATTCATGCGCGCGCTCCAAAACCCAGACACCTTGCTAGTGTTGAAAGCTGAAATCTGAACCCACAGTTGCATACCTGTGTAGCTGCCAAGCTTTCTATCGACTACGAATGCAATAACCCCTTTTTAAGCATGGGCTTGGAATAATATTATGCCAGTGATAACTGATAAGCCCGAAATCCTAAACCGTCGTCCTAAGGCCCTAAGTCCTAAACTCTAAAATCCCTAAACCCCAGCCCTACACGCGAAGAGCAGCATAACATGATGTCAACAGCCTCCGGAAAAACATCTCAGAAAGGCTCTTGCTCCACCCGAGGCCTTAAAATGCTAGAATGCTAAAAGTTTAACACCCTGCTCGGGCACACACCCCTTTCCAGAAACCCTAAACCCTACACCGGAAACCCATCCCTTGAGGCTTATGTAGTAGTTCGTGTGGAAGAGTGATGTTCTTTTCTCTGTTGGTGGGGGGAGGGGTGGTCAGGGTTTTGGGCTTCGGGTCTAGGAAGGATAGAGCAGCCGGGAAGTGCTGCAGAATGTTTGAACCGTCTGCCCGGAACACTACTTACCCAACACCGTGAACCTAAGACCCCAACGCCCTAAACCTACGACTTACATATGAAAGCCGAAAAAGATAAACCTGCGACCTACAACATGTCCATGGGCATGGGCTGGAGGCCCTAGTAAGCCTGAAAAGCACAGGACGCTTCGAGCAGCAAGCATCAATACTTGCTGCTGTCACGGATCCAGGTGTTTAGGTCTGCGAAGTAAAAGACCATCGTCATTGGAACAGAGTGTCGGGATGAATAGTTGTCCGGAGACTACAAAGCGGGTATTCCGACACCGTTAATAGGGTCCGGCGTCTGGGGCTTCGGGTTATTGGTTTGCAGAACTTGCGACAACCGAACTATGGAAAATGTGAGGTATTCATCCTGACAGCTACTGCATCCACAAGCTATATCTGCAGTCTGCCCTGTATCCTCTGAAGAAAAAGGCTACCCTGTCTCCAAAAAAGCTCGCTGGTACTCAGCCAAAAACCTCTACGCGGAGGGTGGGAGACTGCCACTGGAGTTGCCAGGCCTCGTAAATCCAAAAGCCCTGGGCAGCAGCATAAGATAGGGGCCTGAATGAATAGAATTGGGTTTTGGGGCCCATTATACTACAATTTCAATAAGGAACCCCCCAAATACTAAGGTAATTATTAAGGCCCCTAGAATCCCCTAGAGTAAACCCTATGCCCTTTGCCACAGGCTTGCCGAGTTCGCGCCTGGAAGCATCACGCCGTTCTGAACAAGCAAGACATGGGACGAGCACAACACTTAGCCCTTCATGACCCAAAACCCGAAAGCTTGCAGTAAACCCTAACAAAGACTTCAATCATCAGCACTTTGGGGTGAGCGAGCCTGAGCTGTCAAATTAAAATCACCTCCGCAACATGTGACACGCAAGGTTGTTCATGCTGATTGTGCGGTTTATAGGGTCAATGCTTAGCCGCCTTCTTCCCGGAATACATCCCCGTAGCCCTTCTCCTCCTCGCGGCATCGCATTTGAAAAAACTTGGGCCAAGTTGGACCTTGTTGTAAACCCCAAATAATATGTAGGACCCCTCTTCGCACAACAGCCCCTGAACCCTAGGCGGGGTTTTTTTTTTTTCTCCGAGGTGCGGCCAGCCCTTTTTTTTCCGAGGTGCGGCCAACCCTTTTTTTAAGGTTGGACACGCAGGATCCCTGTAGAGGGTTCATCGGGGACGTAAAGAATTTGCGCCGCAACACAGCGCCAGCGCTTTGACACGCAGGATCCCTGTGGAAGGTTTATCGGGGACGTAGAAAACTTGCACCGCACCACAGCGCCAGCGCTTCGACGCACAGGATCCTTGCGGAGGGTTCATCGGGGACGTAAAGAATTTGCACCGCACCACAGCGCCAGCGCTTCGACGCGCAGGATCCCTGTGGAGGGTTCATCGGGGACGTAGAAAATTTGCACCGCACCACAGCGCCAGCGCTTCGACGCGCAGGATCCCTGTGGAGGGTTCATCGGAGTTTCCTTGATGTCGTCGTGGTCGTCGTCCTGGTTGTTGTTGTTTTTGTTGCTGTTGCTGTTGCTGTTGTTGTTGATGATGTTGTTGTTGGTCGTGGTGGTTGTTGTTGCTGCTGCTGTTGTTGTTGTTGCTGTTGTTGTTGTTGTCGTTGGTTGCTGTTGTTGTGGTTGTGGTTGTGGTTGTGATTGTGCTTGTGGTTGACAGGGTGAGGGATCAACAAAAATTTAAATAAGGATCAAAAAAATAAAGCACCAGGATCAAAAAAAAATAAAACAATGATGAACAAATTAAGTCACGTAAAATACAGCAATTCCTGGGGCAGAGGCATAAAAAAAAAAAACAAAATAAGGATCAAAAAAATTGAATCACTCAAAATACAGCAATTCCTGAATTTCCCAAGGGAAAACATTATTTTCCTATGGATTTTCTTTCATTTCCTTAGGATCTGATTGGTTTTTCCTCGGGGAAACACGATTTTCCTACGGATTCCGTGGTATTTCCTGAAATTTTCCCTTGTTTTTCCTAGGACAAACACCATTTTTCTATTACCTATGGCATTCGTGTCATTTCTTCAGGTTTTCAGAAGGAAAACATACGTTATCTTTGGTTGTTCCTCGGGAAAATCAAATTTTCGTTACAATTTCGCATTTAGGACGGAATTCGTGTTGTAGCTGTTGCTGGTATTCCGCTTCATCACCTATCTTAAACACACCCCCTCATTTGGCGATTCTGGTTAGCGGGGGGGTTGGGGGGGGCGCAGCCCCCCCCCATTTGCAGACACAACGCTCACATGATGGGTTTCGAAAACACTGTTTGAATCAAGCTTGCACGGCTCGAAAAGCGCGGCGGTGGGTCTTTCGTTCTTCCGTGCCTGTTCGTGTCTCTTCTTCCGTCAGCATTCTACCTGTAGATTCTTACGGGTGGAATATTCATGTCGTTTCAGTCGTTGCGTGTTTTTTCTGGGAACGGGTTGAAAGAGCTGGGCTCGACCAAAGCGCCTAAATCGACAGCTTTCGGCACCGATCGTATACAAATCGACATTATCCCTCCAAATCTTTCATCTTCTTATCATCAGCTGCATTGTCATATTCATCCCCACTAGCATCATCCAGGACCCACGTCTGGACTTGCATTCCTTAGCTGTGCGCCGGCCGACACATTGTCTATCCTAGATCTAGAAGGATCAGGCCAACAACTGCCAAGCAGAGTTAAGCCCAGCTTCGCGATGGATGTGGAGATGCTCCATTGGACGCAATGCAGCCGAAGCCTGAGATCTGATTCGGGTTGCAAGCTAGAAGTCATGTTGGCAATCGCAAAAGGTCACACGGCTCTTCTGTGGAGCCGGTGATGATTTTGATTGAGGCACGGCCATGCTAAATCGTTCTTATGATTGGCTTGCTTTGCATGAACAAGCCATGCTTTGACCTGGCAGTTTTCTTCAAGTTGTTGCATATTCGCAAACAGGTCCCCCATGAACAGTCCTGTACAGTCTAGGTATACTACAGAGTGCTTGCATGCTCTGCAGCATTTATGTCATACGGCTGGACATCGGCACGCTGGCACAACTTGGTCTGATTAAATCAAGTGTGTCTAGCAACATCCCAGCTCGAGTTCGAGCCATGGTCACAGATCTTGCAAAACGATGGGAGAAGGAGGCCATCATACGGCGACGTGCAAGTAACTTTGAGCTGGTATCTAGCCTGCATTCACATGTGACAGTACATCAAAGCTCCTCTAGGGTTCTTGCTTGCTTGTGTCTATTCAAGGTCCAGGCCACCGGCAACAAGGTCAATCGTGAGACGCTGGCTCGGAACAGCACCCTCGTCCTCATGGCGATTGAGGAGCTTGGTCAACGAGTTTCTGTGAATACTTGTGCATTCCATATCGAAGCTCTGTACGACTACATGAAGATTCCTCTGCCAGGTTGGGTTGGGGCTTTCTGTTCCTTCGAAGTGCTCTGGCCATGTGTGTGTGTTTTGCTGTAACTATCGTGTGCCCTGTCAGTTGGTGCTGGAGTACCAGGGGCTCAAGGATGGCTTCTGCGACGCTGCATTACGGTTTTCAATACCATCGTCGGCAGACCACACCGCCCTCGTGAGCCCGAAATCCGTGCTATGATGGAGCGCTTAGGCTTCGAGGTGCCTGCTAAAGAAGCAGGCTCAGA